AGCTCATCCTGAACAAGGTCTCCACACGCCGCTGGCAAGTGATCTCTGTTGACATGGTAGGGGAGCTTCCCAAGTCGAAGGGATACAATGCCATTTCCGTTGTAGTGGACTGCCTGTCCAAGCGCATCCACATGGTCCCTACAGTGACGACAGTGGACTCAGCAGGAATCGCGCGGCTCTTCCTTGAACATGTCTGGAGACACCATGGCCTACCCGAGAGATTCTCAGCAATAGAGGAAGCACCTTCATCTCCTGCTTCTTGAAGGAACTCACAAACCTCCTCGGAGTCAAGCTCACCCCCTCAACACCCTACCACCCACAGATGGATGGACAAACCGAGCAGGTAAACCAGGAGATAGAAGCCTACCTTTGAGTGTTTGTCAACCACTGCCAAGACGACTGGGTGGACTGGCTCCTGCTAGCAGAGTTCACCCACAACAACCACGTCCGCTCCGCTACCTGCTGAACCCCCCCTTCGAGCTCGACACCGGGCAACACCCCAGGATGGGGACAGAGCCCACATGCACATCCAAGGTGGAAGCTGCAGATGCGTTCTCCTCAAGAATGATGAAAATGCAAGAGGAGGCGAAGGCAGCACTGGAGCATGTGGCGGATGAGATGGCCTGCTACTATGACTGCAATTGCGGGGCAGCCCCTACATACCAAGAAGGCGACCAGGTCTGGCTTAGCACCCAGAACTACATGACTGACCGTCCGACCAAGAAGCTAGACCACAAGTGGATCGGCCCCTTCAGGATCACCAAAGTCGTCTCCCCCACTGCCATCAAACTCCAACTCACCACGCAACAGAAGGGAATCCACCTGGTTGTGTCCATGATGAACATCAGGCCGCACTGCCCTGATGAGATCGCGGAACGCCCCACCGACCCCCACCCAGGCCCAGACCCCGTAGACGGAGAGGAGTACGAGGTTGAAAAAATTCTGGACTCCAGATGGCGGTGCCGAAAACTCTGGTACTTGGTAAAGTATACAGGCTGGCCAAACTCAGAGAACCAGTGGCTCGCGCGCAACCACCTGACCCACACCCCTGACCTAGTGGAAGACTTCCATCGGATGCACCCTCATGCCCCAGGGAGAGAAAGAGAAGACCACCCAGCCACTTCGAGGCAAAGCGGCTTAAGGAGGGGGTGATGTCAGGGCACACCCCGACATGCCCCACCTGACCCCCACTCCGCTTCCCTGCTCTGCACCATGCCTTCTTCCTTTCCTCTTTCTTTCCGCTTCTTTCTCTCTCTTACATGGACCACCTTTCCCACTGTTCAATGTATCACTGGCATGCATGCCCATTCCCCCTCTTGTATCTTACCATCCCTATACCGCCATCACTGCTGCCGTGCTCACCTCACGCCTACAATGGACCCTCTTGGGATCTCCTGTGGAGACACCCTGTCATATCCATCGACTTCCACTACCTCCAATCTCTCTGGACTACCTCCACTCCTTCACTAACCTCGGAGCTCCTGTATTCCACAATCACCTCTGCTTCCCTTGATGGTCACCACCCCCTCTTTTCAATATATTACCTATGCCTCCCTAAGTACGGAGCCCCGAAGGCTTCCAGACAGCTCTGACGTCCGCTAGCGCACTCCCACCTCTGCTGGGCAATACACTTGCTTGCCCTGCAAGCCCACCTTCAGGCCGATCCCTCCTTTCCATTTCTGGGTTATCGCCTACCATTCTGCTAACCCCATAACCCAACTTGTTGGTAATATTCAATCGGCTAATGTTTAACCCCGTTAGCTCCGCTCTGCTCGGCCCTGTCATTCACAGGCCCGCCCCCGCTGTAACTATATATACTTGACTTGTACATAGGTTACACCTCAGTAATAAAATCGACTAGAGTTGACCCCCTTTAGTTCTCGTTGCCAGTAAGTAAATTAGGGCATGGACGTGTAACTTGGCACAGCGCTGTAGGAGAAATAACAGTCACACTATGGAAACCCATTATGGAAATATGCCAGATAAATCACAAAACCCCATACAACAAGTAGATATGAGAAAATAGAAGGACCTGAATTTTTATGAATTTTTATGAATTTTTATGAATTTTTATGACTATACACAATAAATTGAAAGAAAGAAAATTAGCAAAAATACTTCAAGCTTAGCATCAACAAGACGGAATTCTCGGGGGAATTTATACCAAATATTAAAGAAAGAATTAGGACAATCGACCAAGATTTGACTATAGAAACAATCAGAGAACCTCCATGGAAACTACTTTCCCACATCTGCACACATAGCCAAGGATGGAAGTACCACAGAACAAGGATTCCTCAGGAACTAATGCAAAATTCAAAGTCGTGTTTATAATAGGAAATGAAGATGTCCCCAAAACGGACCCAATGAAAGTAATTACAGGGAAAACTACCCATAAACGATGGAGATATGACTAAAACTCCTGCAAAACAAGGACAACATTTTAAAAGCAAGCGCGAAGGCTAACCAGTAACGACCGAGACGATCTTGATGGCCCATTAGAAAGGAAGGGATCTAATCTTAATCCACCCAAATTTTCATAATAAAAGGATCATGCATTAATGAGATATCCAATAACGGGAATAGTGACATCCAAAGTCCGAGCTCAGGGAAAAGACAATGTTTGCGTAGGATCCATAATTACAACATACAACGAAATTTACACGGAAATTATGAAAAATAGGGAACTATAGTTATGCAAATTTTCAGCCCAAATGGTCCAGTCGTTGTGAAGTTATACCCATGACAGGAATATAGAAATCTGCATCATGTTTAATGACACGTGAGGGTGGCAATGCGAAGGGAACCGGCCGTCGGAACCAAGATCCGCACTTCGGCAGATCGCGAAGACCAATTTCCATCCAAATAAGGAAGAGCCCGGTCAAAACAAAGCATGGAAAGTGCAAAACAACCTTAGATCATGAGGGAAAAATCTGAAATAAATCACAGAAGCCCATATGAAAGATATAAACACCCGCGCATATCATAAATCCCAAACAATTAAACAGAAACAGCGCCCGCATACGAACGACTATGGGAACGATGCACATGATTACCGAATGCGCATGCGAACTTTTGCTAACTCGACGAATACCAGGAAATAGAACACAACTTTAGTACCATTGGAAAGGTGGGAATAAATGAAATTTTATGATACCAAGAACGTGAGAAACCATCCAGAAATGAATGAGATACAAGGACATGAAGTTAGAAACCTGATAATGCACGGGAGGACAGCTTCAAGAGGTCCAGAGCCCTAAATAAAATACATAAAAATATGATATCTTCAAGGACGACCTACTATAACAACGAACAACACATATGGAGGATTAGGATGTGATAATACAAAGGGGAATCAAGGAAGATGAACGAAATCCACGAAATCCACTAAACTACGACAGACCATGGTGGGAATTTTAGGGAACGATATTCTAATGAAGTGGAGAGCTATAATACATTCGTTTGAGTAATTCTTGACTACTAGCAACTTTTTCTTTAGGTTTTAAAGCTGAATAATTCACTCATTTACCATTTCAAGTCTCATTTTAACTAAATGTCACTGAATAAAAATGGAATAAATCAGCTGAAGGTCTCAGTGCAGCCATACGCATAGTAATGCGAAGTTTGAATTCAGAATCACCGAGTCATAGCGAATTTAATGATAAATATGAGGAATTTGAAATAGGAAACTGCGACAAATGCAGCACAGTCAGGTTCTAATTAACCATTAAAATAGCTTAGGCGAGGAAGGACAATAAGGATTCTAGGTGCAGTCTGACCGCAGTAGAGCCGCAGTTCAGTGCAGCTGAGCGCAGTAGAACTATAGCATGAAAATTTCATTTTTTTATTCAGTTTGAGAAAAATACACTGTAAATAAATCCTGTAAATACAAGGTAGAGCATGAAAAAGGAAGGCAACCCAAGGAGTATAAAAGGGAGACCCTTTCTGCGACTTTTCACCCCCCTCAGAGAAGTAAGAAAATAGAGTATTATTTTTCTCAAGCATTTCTGTTGTCACTCCAGTGCGAAAAAGTGATATACAGTTAAGATTGCCACTGTAGTAAAAGGCAGCAATTAAGTAAATATTTCAACAGGAGAGCTGGTTAACACTCCAGATTTCAAAGTGTAAACACAAAACAGTTATTTTGCTACTGTTAAAACAAGCAATAAAACTCAAGGGACACTCCAGACACAATCCAGATCCATTAACTGAGTAGAATCTTTGAAACTTCACCAAGTAGAAGATTTAATTCAAGTTAAATTCCAAATTAAACAATGCTACACAGAATTACACCTAGACAAATTAAGAAATTTCAATAAAGAAACAGCTCCGCAGGGCTCGGTTTATCTGTAAGTCAATTCCCAGAAACTTTAGACTAACCCATAAAAATAGAATTAGCCAAAACACTCGGATTGGTACTATATTTACAACAAATAACACTAGTACACTTCCCCATCCTAACTAAAGAACCAGGGAACAGCTTGGTGGTGGTCTCGTTTGAACCTCCCAACTGACCTTCCTTCGTTCTCTCCTTCAGCGTCATCGCCCCTTCCAGTACATTCCGCTGCCAATCCTTAACATCGATCTACTTTGTTCTCCCGACGGTCTGAAGTGGCTTCCAACATCTGAGTGGAGGGAGAAGATCATTGGCATGCAGTCCACAGTAAAGCAACTTCTTCGCCATGTTCAAGACGTAGTCTCCCATCTCTGCCGTGCAGAAATCCTTCCCTCTCACCGTGAAATTATGGCTATACTCAAGCGCAAGTCAGAAGTCTACCTTGACAAGCTGTTCCACTCCCGGATGATTGCGGAATCTGAAAACTACCATCATGACACCGTTATTGAGATTGAACGCTGGATTGGAGAGCTATGAGGGCATCTTCGCTATTGCTACCTCGTTTCTCTTGATGCATGTGCCATATTGGGTGGTGTGGAACTTCTGACATGGCCAGTTCAAGAGTTAGTCCTTGGGACCATCTTTGACGCCTCGGAGGGCATTCATGCTGAGGTCCATGACCCCACCCTTAGTGCCTCTGCCTTGGCCTTTGCCCTCACTCTGGAAAGGTGGGGGGTTCCCCATTGGAGGGTGGAGTATGGCGAGAAATGCTTTGCAGTGTCTCGGTCATGTCCACCTTTACTTGACCAGGTGGCGGAGCTTGCTCTTCAATGGGAGATATGGAACCGAGTCCAAGGATCCAAAAGGCGCTGTGAAGGGGGACATCATTGTAGGATTTGACTTTGTTGTTATGGCAACCGCTACACGTACCCGCCCACAGCAATTCTTGTTTGCGGCCCCGAATGACGATCACTCTGCCCAGCACTTTGTCATGGAGCAATGCCTCCAAGCGCTTGCCCCCAACGGAGATCCTACTTCCTTCAAACGCTTCTCCAGCATGATGAAGAACATCCTTCAGGGAGTCTGGCTTGGGTTGAAATATGAAGAGGGTCTGCATCGTAGTACAGCCTTGGAAGGCAGGAAATGGAAGAGCATGAGAATCCCATTCCCCATTGGCACACATGCTCCACTCATGGCAGCATTTGTCAAAATCCCTTTCTCGTACTACCACCCTCAACACCCCCTTCCATCATCCATCCAAACGGTGCCTGTTATCAGTGTTCCCTTGTCATCTGCCACTGGCCCTGCCACCACCGACACTTGGCTAGGTATATCCATACGCCTGTCAGGCCCGGTACTGGAGCTATGCGGTGATCTGGATGCAGTGAAGCAGTGGGGGGTTCTTGCCTATCATGAAGTCCATGCCCCAACAGTGAATCAGAAAGTGGACAGCTGGGATGGGTCGACACACTGTCTCAACCTACTCTGCAAGACACAAGACAGTGCTCACAGTCTCAGGCGATACCTCCAAGCAAGATTCCCAGGTGTGACTATCAGAGATATTGCCATGCATGACTATACACCCAGCGGATACATTGGGGTATATGAGCTTGGATTTGTTGGTGAGGTCTTTTCTCGTGGGCTCAACCAAACCATGATCCAGACTCTCTTGGACCGTGCACCTGCCCTGCTAATCCCTCAAGGCCCAGACACCTTGCCAACTGAGACAACGGAGCTGTGGACCTGGATGTACTCCCAAGACCTCTTTGAATACAATCGCTTCCGGATTATGACGACAACGTCCAGCCAAGGACGTTTACCATTCAAAGTGGTTGAGGTGACCTTCAAACAAGACGTGCTCGAAAAGATGTGCCTGTGCAGGCCCTTTGAGTTGAGCAAAGAGGAACATTTTGCTCTCCTTCATTTCTGCCTTATCCTTTGTCGCCTTCGCCGCTTCAAACGCGCATTCCATCAACGAATCTACCCCTCAGAGGGTTCTATCTATCCTGGTGTCATTTGTTTCATTGCCAGTTCTGCAAGGCAACTTTTTGAGGGCATCGAACTACGAACAAACGAGATGCTGAAGAGGTCAGGGAACCTGTCTCAAGAGGAGTTTGAGTCCATTCATTGGCAGCCAAAAACTGGCCTCTTTACACTCAAAGTGGTGGAGAATCCACCTGCTCCCCTAAACAAGCTGACCACAGAGGAACTACGGGGGTTGTAGTTGGAGAGACGTGTAACATTATGCAGGAGGGGGTTGTGGCCGCCGTTCATACGTTTCATACGTGGTCTACCATTTGTAGCACCTGCACCCTGTTCTTGATTCTCACTATGCAGAGCATATGTTCTTATTTACTGCAGTGTGAAACGGACTTATACGGACATCAGCATGTGGTAACTCGTATTGCGACTCTTGGGCTGGTGTATCACCCTCTCTGTAACTCGGACCGCTCTGTATTTGTGTTCACATTTACAGTATCCATCTTACATTTGTCAAGCTTACAAGTTGCACGGCTATGAGTTAAATAATGACCTGTGTGATACCTCCATCGTAAATAATATCTATTCATGCTTTTAGCGATTAGCGTAATGTTGGGCTATCCTTCAACCAGGCAACATCTGGATCCACATGTTCAAAACCTCATCTTTCTCATCACTAACTTCGTCGGATGTCCCCGGCAAGTCTTCCTACATTGGCACCTTTACCACGAAGCTCATCTCCAACGTCCCTAACGATTTCCCAGTGCTGAGCTGTGTCCAAGGTTTCAGGAGGTGGTACCTTCTTGTCGATGTGCAGTTTAATGATGTCGATCTCCACCAAGCATTTGACATTTTCTTTCAATAGTGCCTCCGAACGAACCACTGGCAGAATTTTCAGTGCAGCTCACCACACCGAGTGTCGTGCACATTTGAACAAGGTGTCAAAGGTGGCAGGCTCACCACTCGTGCTTGTTGTGGAAGATGGCATCTCTGAGCATGCCCGGGGTGTTGGCCCTTTGTTCACAGTGAGATACGTAATCCCATTATTATTCGATCCTGACATCGATTGCCCTCTAGCTGGAGTGCTGTTGGGGGTTGGATGAATCAACCTAATAGGAGGGATAACCATTGAGGTATGCGATTCTGGAACCGTTTTGCTAGTTCGTTCCATGAAGACATCATTTTGCGGGATGTCAGTGAGTTGCAGCTTGCATTCCGGTTGGGATCTGGAGCGTACTTCCAGTGAGAACGTGGGCAGGTTGAGCGGCTCTATTTTTGAAGGGAGTATCAGTGATAAGGACCCGCTTGATAAAGGTGAGCTGTTACTCGGTGACACTGTCTCTGGTACCACCTCATCCTCCTGTGCTCCTGTCACCTCATTCTGTGGCAGTCTGGCTCCATCCACCTGACTGCTGTTCCTGGGCCTCATGCGAGGGGGCTTGGCCTTTGCTAAAGCATGCATGTGAGTGGCCTTCAGCTTCAACAAGTTGAGCGGCTCTATCTTTGAAGGGAGTATCAGTGACAATGACCCGCTGGATACAGGTGAGTTATTATCCGGTGTCCCCGATACCACGTCATCACCCTGTGGTCCTACTGCCTTATTCTGTGGCAGTCTAGCTTCATTCACCTGACTGTTGTTCCCAGGAACCATGCAAGGAGGCTTGGCCTTTGCTGGAGCATGCATGCGGGTGGCTTTGGACTTCTTCCTAACTCGCTTGGGAGATGGAGACTCTATCTTACCGTCTCCGACCGTATTCCCTTCCGGTGAGTCTGGTAAGTCTGCCTTGCGTTTCCTAGGTCATGCCACGGTGAGCACAGCTTTGGCAACTGCCCTCCTCACCTCATTTTCAGGTAGCATGTATTTGCCAACACTCCCATTTGCATCAGGTGCGTAATGGAGCACCTCACGCTTCTCATACTCCTCTGGTGAGTTGTAACCCATCAGCTGTGCCCTTTGGAACTTCACTGACATTCCCTTACCTTCTGTCATTGTCTCGATTCTCAATTTCTGTTCAGGGTCGGAGTGGTAGAGCTGCATCATACCCCGAGCAGACTCATGTGGGGTCCAATCACAAGGGAGCGACTCGTTCAAATGTCGGATGCCACGATGCCAGCCAGCAAAACGGAGATGATGCTCAAGTAAGAATGGAAGTATGTTTGCAACCCTCCAGTCGGTCCCAAGCTCGCTTACACACGTTGCCTCCTCTGACACCAGATATCAGATAGGCAATGTGAAGTGCTCTGTCAAAGTAGGACGTATGTATCATTGTTTTAAGCTGCGCAGCAGCCTCAGTGCAGCGTCGGCTATGTGGGCCATATGACTTGTCTGCCATGGCAAGGCCGTCTTTCCTTTTCAATATCTGTGTATGATAATCGATGTCGTTTTCGTCCATGGCCTCCATCTTCACCGTCAGGTATTTGTCCAGGCTATCATGGAAATGGACACTTTACCTGGCAGTTGCTACAACAGACTTCATCAGGCCTGATGCGCCAAACTCCTCATTGTTGCACAAAGATGACGAAGGAAGCTTCTGCAGTAATTTCAGCTGATGGGGACCATGAGGACGAGGTGCTCATACCTCTGTTTGCTGATATCGGGTTGGTATGGGCTAAAAGAATTACGAGTAAGCTATCTGCACTTTCCTGTGCTTGCGCTGCATACCTGAAAGCCTTTATGCCATCATACAGATTTCTTATGGCAAGGGCTGCATCCTCGGTGAGTGGCAGACCCATAGCCTTCACCATTTCTGCCATAATCGGTGAGCTGGTGAAAGCTACTGTGGACTGTTCCGGGGGACGGTCTCATCCGCTACAAATCCCACTACAGCAATGCCAATGGGATGGGTGGAACTAAGTGCACAGACCTATCATGACAACATGTAGTTAGATTGATTTCTATAACTGCTCCGCTCAATCTACTTCACCTGTGCTGCATATTGTCCTGTCATTTTCTGAAGCAGGTGGAGACTTTCATTAGGTTGGGTCTCTCTTTCGTCCTTAGACAAAATAATGTCTCCGTAATGCACGAGAACTTTGTCATAAAAGGCTTTTGCTTCGTCCGCCCTGTCTGGATACTTCTCCTCGATTTCCAGATGCTCCGACTTGCAGAGGCTTGCTGCATCTTGGCTATCGAGTCCTGCTGAGAAATGATTAGTCTCTAAGATGAGCTGTGAGCATATTGTTAACCTACGGTGAAGCTTAAGCCATGTCTGCCAAGCGGTTTGGCCTGTATCAGTCGCATTATGAGAGCGGAACTTCTTCATTACTTCTTGGGGGACTTCCCCCTTTTCTGGGCATACGCAGCCATACACGTCTCCATGAAAACTGCACAGTGTTGAGAGCTTCTAAACAGTTTGAGCAGTGAGGGAAATAATGCACCTTCAAAGCTGAGGTCGTCTATCACGGATGCTTCATCAAGTATATTCCCAATACCTCTGACTGCCTTGACGGAGGTGTGCCCCCGTGGCTCTTGCACAATGTTCTTTACAACATCCTCAAGGGGGGCAAGGGGTTGGAACTGTGGCATATCTTTTGTGGAAGTGTGTTGTCCAACCAGGCTCCTCAGACGGGCGAAAGGGCCATCCGTAGCCTTCAGAAAGTCATTCACGGAGGGCGCTGTTGTCAACAAAGTCAGGCTGTTGGAAAAATTGGCCTGTAACATGAGAATTGATGCGTTTGACACGTCGCCAGATGCATCCGGCAAGGGAGGGGGCATTCTGAGCTGGTATCTTGTTCTAGGGCCGTTCACCGTTTAGGTGGAAACGGAAAATTTCCTTCAAAATTTGCATCCAAACCATCAGATTTGATTTATTAAACAAACTTTAGGGGAGAGGTTTGTATCTACACCGTTTTGTGCATTCCTGCACCGTTCAACCCACCATCTGCACTGCAGTTTTGTATAATGGAGCTGACATGTTATTCAAATGAATCCTCCACTATCCCGGCCCCCGTCTCCTCTGTGGCATGGCTGCACCTACAGGACCAACCACAAGCCCATTCTCCCTTCATTTTCCCCTTTGATTTCTTCACGGTGTCTGGTGGATGGTACAGGGACTAGGTGGCGCTCCGGGACATTGCGCATGCCTTAATCGGAGCCGCGCGTTGTATTTGATGTACGTCAGGGTTCCAATATAAATAATCGGTGTGCGTACAACAAGCCCCTGGTTCTAACTCGTGTATGTCGGCATGGGTCATCTCCCCCAAGCAGCATCCCCTAGTAACCCAAACGGCGCATCTGCGCAAGGCCTGCATGAGGGCTGGTCCGTTTGGTGGTGGCAGTGCCAACTCCGTTTGACCACATCTATTACCCCATATTGAATTATCACGCGACCACATGCATTCCCTCCGAACGGGGCAATGCCGGCTGCTCTCACATCTCATCCTTCCATTGTCTCTACCATCACTATGGTGCCAATAACGGGGATGTCAGGTCTGGGTCCTACGAATGTCCCATGATACTTATAACAGCAATATTGTAGATATGTCCCATATTAATGATGCTTTCATCTGTTAGTCACTCTTGCGAGATGCCATGATTTTCATCGTGATCAGATCACGATATATAAATAGATTTGGACACGATTCTGATCAAATTCTTGTAAAAGACAATCGCAGGAACTGGCAGTTTTCTAGTCGAGTTTTGAACATGGATTCATTTTTCTCAGTGTCGTGCGACACGGCGCTTTGATATCGGGGATACGCCAGGTCAAGAAAATATGAGACATACCCGGGAAAATGGTTATTCAGCTTCAGATAGGGTGTATATATTATATTACAGATCAATATGTAGTGAGAAAATGACCCTGCGCCGCGTGCCCTCCAGCAAGAGCCACCACTTAATTAGCCGATTGTACCTTTTCCAAGTTGACATTGACTAATACTGACATAGAATTTCTCCAGCTACATTGCACTCACCGCTAATCTGTCCCTGACCGCTCGGCAAATGTTTTAATATAGAGTGATTTCCTCAGAAATCCGCGCCTTTTGAAAAACCTCCGTCGCGTTAGCAGATCGACCAGTTCGAGTGCTGCACGAGGCAATTCCACAGCTCAGCGCACAGTACGTTTGAGCGACTCCATCAGCTAAGCTAAGACCCTTTGGTCCCCCGACTAGCCTCCTCGCCTTTGGCAGGAAGGTGCAGTTTTTCCTATATTCGTAGCCGGCCTAGTCCCCTCTACTCCCAGGGAGAGGGAAGGAGCCTTTAAGGGCTAGAAAGGTAGAAACTACTGTTGCATAACGCGAAGATTGTGGTAAATGCTCCCTTCTAGCAAAAAACTCGTTATTCGAGCTCCCCCAGAAGCCGTGGCCTCAAGGACTGATCAATTAGGCTGGTCGTGCAATGACACCTATTGACGACTTATTGGGAGGTTACGTCTCTGGGATGTTCCTCAATGCAACGTAGGCATCACAGGTTGTGACACAGTCGAATCGCCGATTGAGCCTTTTGTCAGAGACCAGATTTAAGACGAAGGAATGTCTCCGTAACGGGGGGCTTTGGCCTCAGCGACTTCTGCCAGGAGCGCTGTGCCTAGTGACACGTCCGTGCCCTAACTTACTGACTGGCACTTAGAACCTAGTGGGGGTAACTCTAGTTGATTTATCTGCTGGGGCGTAACCTATGTACAAGTAGTGTATATATATGGTTACAGCGGAGACGGTTCCGCAATTGGCGGAGCCGGACGGAGCGGAGCTAACGGGGTTAAGACATTAGCCGACTGAATATTACCGACGAGTCGGTTTGCAGGGTTAGCGGAAAGGCAGGCGTTAACCCAGAAACGGAAAGGAGGGATAAGCCCGAAGGTGGACTCTGCAGGGCAGGCGAGTGTATTGCCCAGCGGAGGCAGGAGTGCGCTAGCGGACGTCGGAGCTGTCCGGAAGTCTTCGGGGCTCCGTACTTAGGGAGGCGTAGGTAATAAATTGAAATGAGGGGGTGGTGACCATCGAGGGGTACCGGGAGGTTTGCGGAATACGGGAGCTCCGAGGTTGGTGAGGGGGGAGCGGAGTTAGAACGGAGGGGTCGGAGAGCCCGGAAGTCGATGGCCGGGAATGGATATGACAGTATCCCCTTCTTAGGCCTGAACCCTTGAAGGCCCAGAATTAGTAAGACGAGGGGAGCTGCACTTACAGGAAGAGAAACAATGAGGAAAATAAAAATGAAAACGAAAGTGAGGAGCGGAGGGGAAAGGAGAAATGGGAGAGGAGTCGGGGTTCCTAAGGAGCTTCGGGTCCAGGCTTCGCTGGGTACCGAGAGTGGAACGCTTCGACGAGGTCGGAGGCGTGATCGAGTTCACCGGCAAGGAGCCATTGTGTCTCCTCGTCGGTCCCTTCATAGCCTAGCCACTTGACCAAGTAGAGCAACTTGTTGCGTCTACGTCGGTCGATCTTGGAGTCGAGTATCTCCTCGATCTCGAACTCCATCTCGCCTTCGATTTCTACGGGAGGCGGAGGTGGCTGGTGGCGATTCGGAATGGTGTTTGGGACAGATGGTTCGATCTGCGAGACATGGAATACCGGGTGAATGGCTCGCATGTTATCCGGCAGGCGGAGAGTGAGGGAGTGGGTTCCAACGCGGGCGATGATCTCGAATGGGCCGAGGTTTTTCTCGGAGAGCTTTTTGGAAGGTCGAGTGGAACGGAAGTACTTGGCCTTCACGTAGACCGAGGTTCCTACTTCAAAAGCTGGGGCAGGGCTCCGGCGAGAGTCTGCCGGGCCCTGATAACGGATCTGGGCGAGATGCATTTCCTCGCGAAGGAAGTGGTGGAGGGAGTCGAGATCGACGGAGTACTCTTGGGCGCGTACCGATGTCAGGTCTCGCTCCAGGTGAACAGTGATGTTCAGGTGGTAGCCTTTGTTGGCGAAGAACGGGGAGACGCCCGTGGTGGCATTCGGAGCGTTGTTGTATGCGAACTCTGCAAGAGGCAGGAGTTCGGACCAATTGTCCTGCTGGTAGTTACTGTAAATACGCAGGTACTGCTCGAGCGTCTGGTTCATCCGTTCGGTCTGACCGTCTCCTTCCGGGTGATAACCGGAGGTGAAGTGGAGGCGGATGTCGAGGGCCTTACCAAGTGAACGGAAGAAATGAGAGACAAACTCCGGACCCCTGTCGGAGGTGACGTGGGATGGAACTCCGTGCTTGGAGAACACATGGAGGAGGAAAAGCTTGGCCAGTTCCGGAGAGGTGATGGTATCGTGGGTAGGGATAAAAATGCACTGTTTGGACAGGCGGTCCACGACGACCAAGATGGAAGTGAATCCGGAAGAGGAGGGTAGCTGTTCGATGAAATCCATGGAGATGGAGTTCCAAGGACGTTCGGGGATGGGGAGTTGTTTGAGTAAGCCGTAAGGCTTATGACGGGGGACCTTGGCTCGGGCACACGAAGTGCAGGAGGATACGTAACTCTTGACGAAGTTACAGATACCCGGCCAGGTATACTCACGACGCACTAGATCCAGAGTCCGGTTTTGCCCGAAGTGTCCGGAAAGTTGGTGGTCGTGTTTGTCTCGCAAAACGCGGAGACGGAGATCGTTAGAATCCGGCACGTAAATGCGATTGTCCAGCCTTAAGAGGCCTTCGGCATCAACGGACCAGCGGGAGTTGGGGAGGTTGGGGGAAGCGAGATGAGAAGAGATTGAGGTGTCGGAGGAGAGGGAGGTTAGGATGTCTCGATGAAGAGCCTCTGTGTCGACGAGTACGGCTGCTCGGATTACTGTGGCAGCTAGGAACGTGGCTCGTAAGGACGCAGTGAGCTGCTCCGAAGTGAAGACCGGTCGGAAGTTCTGTGGGTTGACGCGAGCGTAGTCCATATCCCCTTCTTTGGGATAGACGTCCCAGCGTCTTGTCAACGCATCTGGTTTAACTCCGAGTCTTCCGGGACGGAATCGGACTGTCATGTGGAATTGGGAGAGGAACTCTGACCAGCGGGCTTGCCGCCGGGTCAAGAGTTTGGTGGTGGAGAAATACTCGAGGTTCTTGTGGTCGGTGACGACGTCGATTGGGGTTCCTGAACCTTCGAGGTAATGACGCCATGATCGGAACGCATCATGAATGGCGAGCAGTTCTTTGTCATGGGTGTCGTAATTGAGCTCCGGCGCCGAGAGTGTTCTTGAGCGGAAAGCGACGGGGCGAATCTCTCCATCATCACAGCGAATGGAGAGGATTCCGGAGATCGCGTAATCGGAAGCGTCGGTTTCTACAATGAGGGGGGCGTCGGGTAGCCAATGCGTGAGGATAGGAGCGGAAGTGAAGGCCTCTTTCAAGGTGTTGAAAGCGGCGCGACAGTCGTCGGAGAATAGCCAGGGGGCTCCTTTACGCGTGAGGCGCATCAAGGGGACCACAATGTCGGAGTATTGGTGAATGAAACGCTGGTAGAAGTTAGCGAAGCCAAGGAAGGATTGGACATCCTTGACTTTACGGGGCTCGGGCCAATCTTGGACGGCTTTGACTTTCTCGATGGACATGGTGAGTCCGGAAGGAGAGAGGCAGTAACCGAGATATTCCGTAGTGTCCGTATGGAACTCGCATTTCTTCGGATTGGCGTATAGGCCGTGTTTGCGGAGTCTCCTAAGAACTTCTCGGACATGCTCCTGATGCGAAGCCATGTCTTCCGAGTAGGTAAGGATGTCGTCTAGGTAGACTACCACAGAAACGTCCAGGAGGTCGGCAAAGATCGTGTTTACGAATCGCTGGAAAGCCGCAGGTGCATTCGTGAGACCGAATGGCATGACAAGCCACTCATAGGAACCATAGCGCGTGCGGAAGGAAGTCTTCCATTCGTCGCCTGCTGCGATGCGAACCAGGTGGTAGGCATGCCGGAGGTCGAGTCTGGTATAGACCGTGGCATGGCTAGGTGCGTCAAGGAGGTCGGAAATGCGGGGAAGTGGGTAGCGATCCTTTTTGGTGATCTTGTTCAGCCCTCGGAAGTCGACGCAAAGACGGAGGGATCCGTCTTTCTTGCGGACGAAGAGGACCGGTGCCGCGTGAGCGGAGGTAGCGGGACGGATGAAACCGGAGGCCAGGTGCTCATCTAAGAACGCCCGGAGGGCCTCGAGTTCCGAAGGAGAGAGAGAGTACATGGTACCCAAGGGTGGGGAGGTGCCTTCCTCAAGGTCGATCTTTAGGTCGTGCTCACGGTGCGGTGCCAGCGTCGAGGCCTTGCTCTTACTGAACACGTCCGCGAACTCGTGATACTCCTTCGGAACGGCCGAGAGGTCGACGGAATCGGTGTGGGGAGAGGCAGCCCTCAAGTGGCTTTCCTCGGAAGGGATGGTTAGGCTGAAGGATACCGATCCTTCGAGTCGGCAAGCCTTCGCGAATGCGGAACGGCTGACGAACTCGATAGATGGTAATGGAGGAGTAGCAGCCCGTGACTGAGGTGCTGGCGAAACATCAGATGGTTGGATGTCGGACGACGGCAGTGTTGCCGGAGACGACGGGGGAGAGCTCGGAGTGACTGTCTTGGTAGGTTCGGAAGTTCGGAACGTGATACTGCTTGAGACCCAGTCAATCAACGGATTGTAGCGGGTAAGCCAGTTGTGTCCTAGGACTAGGGAACATGATCCATCCAGCGATGTGACAAAGAAAGTCGTGGGGGTGATGTTTCCGGAAGCGAAGCGGAGGGGAATATCAACGGCACGGGTTATGATTGAGTTGGTGCTACCGTCGAATAGGCGTAGTTGTAGGGGTTTGATCTGGTATGTCTTCAAGGCCAGCTTTTTTACGAAGGTGTCGTCGATGAAGCAGTCCGAAGACCCAGAATCTACGAGTGCGGGTACGTTCTCATAGGAGCGGAAAGGTTTATTTTGTGTCCTACTATTGGACGGAGGAGAAACAGGAGGAGAAAAAGAAGAAGCGAAGCGGAGAGAGGTGGATCGATCTACGGAAGTAGTCGGAGGGGGTGGAGGAGAGAGTGGTACATCAACAACACTATCTACAACGGGTAGAACATTGCCCGAAGGGTCAACATTGAAAGGAGAAAATAGACCATTTGAGAGAGAAAAGGAAACGGGAATGTGGAGGGAGGATAGGTCGGAAATGGAAGACGCGTTTAAACGCACTTCTTTGAGCGCACGGAAGGAAGGATCGCAACCCCCGGTCCGTGCGGAGTCCACGGGGGTGCGGACTAATTTTTTGCTTCTGCGGAAGCGGATCCTTGCTCCTCGGTCTGGGCCGAACGGGCCTTAGATGCGCGAGAAGAAGACTTGGGACAATCCTTGACCATATGGCCAGACTGACCGCAGAACATACAAAGTTTCTCGTCGAGGCGGCGCTTACGCTCTTGTGGCGTGAGCTTGCCGTTGTCTCCGAGTTTAGAAGAGAGGTCCGGTTTAACGGAGCTGGCCTCGGACTTCTTGTTGTCCTTCGGAGGCCTACTACCGGAAGCGGAGTTGAAAGAGGAGGAGGAAGGGACGGGGTCGGAACGAGAAGCGGCGGTGGACTTGTCGAAGACGTTAGAGGAAGAGGGTTTCGCGTGACGTGTAACTTCCGATTTACGCTCCCAATAGCGCACATCGAGAGTTTGGGACAGGGTGCGAAGCTCAGAGAGAGTAGAGGGTTTACCTACTCTGGCAATATCATCCTTGATACGTTCCGGCAATCCGTTGTAGAAGAAACGACGAAGCGCGGCTTCTCCGTAACCGTGGAGTTGAGAGGCGTGTCGATTGAATTCGACGACGTATTTGTTGATGTGGTGTCCGTCCTTCATGTCTAACGTCATTAGTTGAACCTCGGCGTCACCCACAGGATCGTGAGGGCCGAAGTTAGTTTGAAGTTCGTTAACGAACTCTTGATAGTCGTTCATCCATCACGGACGAAGCGTGGAATTCTGGTCGAATAACAGGTCCGGCTCAAACCAATCGAGGGCCATTCCCTTGAGGTAGGACTGCGCAAATATGACTTTAGCGCGGTCACTAGCGAAAGCGAGGGGACGGTCCTGGAAGTTGAGCTCGCATTGGACCAAGAATACTCGGAGTTCTCGGGGATCCTTCCCGTCAAACTGTTCGGGTTCGCGGACCTTGGTCCGGAGAGCGGAAGATGGTGGTCGTCGTCGTCGTCCGGTGTGACGAGCCAGACTGGCAATGGCTTGGGCCAATTGTGTAATGGCCACGTTGGAGGTGGGTTCGGCATCGTCGGTGGTTGGAACAGTGGGGATGGGAGGATCAGCGGGAGGAGGGTCGACGAAGTCGGGGACCTCGGAACCGAGTCCAAAGAAGTGGGCGGGATCTATGGGTTGTTCCGTGGTGTCTCCGAAGTCGGAGTCTGCGACTGGTGATCGATTCCTAGCGGGGCGCATGATCGGAGTCGATGGGAGAGGGGTTTCAAGGTTAGAAAAGCTTCGAAACTCAACTGGGTTTCTCGCCAATCGACTAGGACCAGGCTGAGAGGGTTCTGGGGAAGGTGAAGCGGAGTTGGGGACCAATGTGCGTAGTTGCGAACGAGTGCGAAGGACTTTTGGTGCCATACAAGACGTGTACTAGTCAGGGAGCAGATAAATACTGTCAGAGACCAGATTTAAGACGAAGGAATGTCTCCGTAACGGGGGGCTTTGGCCTCAGCGACTTCTGCCAGGAGCGCTGTGCCTAGTGACACGTCCGTGCCCTAACTTACTGACTGGCACTTAGAACCTAGTGGGGGTAACTCTAGTTGATTTATCTGCTGGGGCGTAACCTATGTACAAGTAGTGTATATATATGGTTACAGCGGAGACGGTTCCGCAATTGGCGGAGCCGGACGGAGCGGAGCTAACGGGGTTAAGACATTAGCCGACTGAATATTACCGACGAGTCGGTTCGCGGGGTTAGCGGAAAGGCAGGCGTTAACCCAGAAACGGAAAGGAGGGATAAGCCCGAAGGTGGACTCTGCAGGGCAGGCGAGTGTATTGCCCAGCGGAGGCGGGAGTGCGCTAGCGGACGTCGGAGCTGTCCGGAAGTCTTCGGGGCTCCGTACTTAGGGAGGCGTAGGTAATAAATTGAAATGAGGGGGTGGTGACCATCGAGGGGTACCAGGAGGTTTGCGGAATACGGGGGCTCCGAGGTTGGTGAGGGGGGAGCGGAGTTAGAACGGAGGGGTCGGAGAGCCCGGAAGTCGATGGCCGGGAATGGATATGACACCTTTCACTGTCCCACTGTGAACCAGGATACTTGGCGCCACGACGATCCAAGTGTATACGTATTTTTCAAACTACCCTGAGGATGCGTGGTTTATAAAGCTTTTGGTACGCCCTTTCTCGATCCCGGAGCGAATGTTCTTCGACGACTTATGCTACCTGCATCGTGCATAGGTGGCATTTCTGACGTACGTTGTTTCCTCATTGTTCTCATAACTGTTGATGAGCGACACTTGTGATCTCGGAGCTGGACTATGAGTAATGACTCAGTCTCAGCCAATATGCGTGAAGAACTAGATATATTACCTATGAGTAATGACTAGAGGTAATATACATAATATAAGTTACAATGATAAAGCAATGAGGGAATGTAACTAACTAACCTCAGTCTCAGCCAATATGCGTGAAGAACTGAGGGAAAAGGAAATGAATTCAAATGAATGAATATGTCCGTGGCCTGGCACGGGTTAGTCCAAAATAGGCAAAAGAAGGTGTTGTGACTAAGTAGTCACATGGTGGATTCTGGGCGAGTTGCTCTCCCAGAATATTCCCACGCTAACGCAGGAACGTGGCTGTTCAGGTTAACTCCGCTGGAGTACCCTCATAGCACACGGTTCCTCCAACAATAACTGTCCCTGACTCACTAAGTAACGATTCTGTAGATCACTGCAATTCTTCAACATGTGAGCCTTGCACTGATTAACATCCAACTCGATGCACACACATTGCCATCTATTTAGAGGCTGTATGGCAAAAACAGTCTGGGTTCTTGAGTTTACGCAGCGCCCGGTTCTTGGGCGTAATCCATGGTATTCCTGCGCACCCCTGATCCGGAAGGTCAGAGCTGATGCTGTTCCTTAGGCATGGTAGCATATTTTCCCTTGTAACGGTTCGTAATAACTTTGGGCAATGTTTCGGCTTAGGGACGTAATTTGACGTTTTTCAAGGTTATCTCCTCCTCCTTAGTTCATATCTTCTTCATCGATCGAATCAGGAAGAGTGAGTACTGTCTCAAACTCATCACTTCACAAATTGACTAATCCTTATCCTTTCCAGTGACAAAACGGCCATGGCTTCCCCTGGTGATTGTGAGCTTCTGTCGAATTCGTGTTCGAATCCAAGCGTGTTTACTCAGTCTCCTTTGTAACAGCTGATTACAGCATTGTCCACACTGGGTGCGTTCTTGTGGGACTGCACCGACTACTCTGCGAACTGATATTCTGGCACAATGTTCAAGGCTGTGGCCTAGGTACATCAAAATTCATTTGACTTCTCCCGTTGTACTGAGGAAACGGCTTGGCGATTAGAGGTTGCAGTGAGCGCGTAAGTTAGCCTATGTGGAGGCATATTGCTAAACCATCTAGGGCGACATCGATCCTGACGGCTCATTAGGATAACACTCCGAAGTGGTAGTGTGGCGCACGGCTATCGTGGCGACGTTATTGGGTGGTGGACATCCCAAGTAAGCCGAGATTCTGAACGAGTAGCCTCATACTGACTGATCCCATCATGTAAGGCGGTAACAGACATGCTAATAGCAGGGACTATGGTGGTACTGTTATGGCGTAGTCGGACGGGGTTTCGACGGTACGTAGGAAATTGTGGAAATGGCCTTGAATCCTGACCTGGGCTCTAGGACGGACCGGGCTCTCACCTTGATGGGAATATACGCCGTGAACACTGGTTTAGTACCCTGGTATATGTCGCCCCTAACTTTCCCTTCGCACCTGAGTCTAATGATCCCCTCGTTAGTATTATGGCAATCGTAATCGAAATTATCGTATGCAAAGAGGTTCATGCGCGCGGCGTTCTCTTTCTCTGACTAGGCTCCCAGTTTCTATCTTACAAGCAAACGGTCCATTTCATTTATCTGTTCTTCAGCACGGTAAGGATATTTTGGGTCAGAACAAACTGTTTCTAAGTGCAATTGTTCAGTCATTAGGTGGGGTATATACCTTCACACTCCTTGCTAAGTGGGTAGTCAACCCCGGTGTCGAAGATCTATTCATCTGACCTTCTCAGTTTAAACGCGCGAAATCGCATGCGGTCATGCCTTCACCCAAAAGAAGGTGAAGCTATCCATCAATCTCTTTTCCTCACCGGATTCCTTGCTCGGGTAAGAGCGGTGATGTGCCCAACGTTATTATAGCTTACCTCAGTTCAGAGCCTGCAAACAGAGGCCGGATCAATTCCCCCGCCTTCGAGTGGTAATTACTCTGGCGATCCGCATATCAAGGTGCAGGTGCATCAAGGTGCGCAGCATGATTCCTACTCCATAGCCATGGTTTCTGATCCTATCCCTCAAATGTAGAGGCTATGACAAGTGATGATATACCGATGATACCGCATAACCTCTCATCACGCTTCATAGAACCATAGAGGAAGTCGTTTATTAGCTAGACATTACATATTATATAACATTGTTTCCAAACACCACCCGTGATTTGCTTACCAGTATTTTGGATTCATCATACACCTTCATAATGAATGATCATGATTTTGGTCGCAACGCCTCACCAATTATCTAGCTCAGAGAGGATATCTCGGACTTTCTGCCTCCGTGACTTGCGTGCGCCTGTCTTGTCCCTATCTCATAGGATGAACTTCACTGTTGGCCAGCAGTACGTATACCATCAAGTCTGATAACTCCACTTGACTTACACCCTAATGCAAGGCCAGCTGCGGATTGAGTGCATTGGGGTTCTACCGAGTTGCCTTGTTGTGAGTCGAGAGTCGAGCATCGGGATAGTCAGCAGGGGATCAAATGCGAGCAGAAGCTAACTCGTATTGTTGTTGTACAAAATATCTACAGCATTTACAGTCAACGTGGAATTTTATTACTAGTTTGCGCCGGAAAATATCAACTTTCCACCGGGTCTAATTGACATACAACTGCTATTTGTCAGAGTAATACTCCAACGTAGCGTGTGAGATAAGTCACCCACCATACAACTGACAATCTAGGTAGACATTTGCTTTGCATCCAGAAATGGTTGCTCCATCCAGCCACCCGCCCTTTACACCCACACCCCTATACCACTGCCATCCTCCACACCATACCAGTCAATCTCCCGATTTTCTGCTGAAGGAAGTTCAGTTGCAAGCCAGGTGTTATCCATGCGGTTGAAGAGAGTCCAAAGCAGTGCATCTTTCCCCTTGTCAGGAGGGATTTTCAGCGTTTTGAAAATTTTCATACGGAGTAGGCGGATTGGCATGCTAGGAAGGACCCGAAGGGTAGCAACGCTCTCAGGGACCATGTCAGCTGTGAGGACATTTGATGAAGGGTGTTTTTTGGGAAGTTGATGGAGGTGTAGGGCTTGGCGAGATCAACAAATTTCGGAGAGTTTTGGAAAGTCCAGCCGCACTCACTTATCATCCGGTCGGCCATTGTACCCTTTGGGGCAGGTTTAGTGACGTCTGGACGTCCATGTTCTGGAGATCCAATTATGAGTCACGCAAGACAGAAAACGCAAATTCATCAAACTCACTCTGACACAGCGCTTCCCATTGAGGATGCTCTCGTTTACGAAGGTCTTCATCTTCAATAGAGTTTGCTATATAAGATAGATAGAAGAGCTCAGCGTCACGTCGCTCGAATGTTCGAATCTGAGGCCATCAATGACAAGACGTCCAAGCAGCAAGATCAATATCTTACTTCTCCTCCGTCGAGAGTTCTAAGCGAGGGGAGACGGGCGATAATAAATGCTCGAACAGTCGAGTCCTCCACTTGTGACGATTATAGCTCAGTAGCTGGCGGTCAATAATTGAAGTCGGTTCACGTACCAGCAGTAATAGGATTACCAGTAATTCCAAGTGACTCCAAGGCGGGGCACCACTCTCCAACAGCATCGACTGACATCCATGAGGATAACATGTTGGAGCTCAGGACGAGGTGTTTCAGGTTCCCGAGAGGACTCGAGGTGTTCCGAGGTATTTCAACGAAAGCGTTGGATGACAGGCTCACATGGCGGAGACTGCGCATGAAACGAGTCGAAAGACGATCATCATCTTCTCATCATCTGCTCACTTTGTAATGCCCGATACAGCCTCCGTAATGTTGACCCAGTCACTTAACAAGTTTCCGTCCAAAAAGACCAGCCTCAGAGTGGATACAAGCGAGGAGCTCAGCTTCCAAGGACCCAGCCTCTGCAATCTATTGAAGCCCAATTGAAGGGCCTCTAGTTTTGGGAAAGCTGGAGCAATGTACGGGAGCTGCTTGCCATTCACCCGGCGTCAATCTCTGAGGGCTGAGGAAACTAACCTCCTCCCATGACATTAAAGTGTCATTAAGCCTCAATTCGGTCACCCGTGATGATGTTTCCGGCAGAGGGGACGTCAGTGTCTGGAAACGATTCCGGCTGGAAAGCGGAATGAAACGTATTGGTAAATGCGCAGTGTAAAGACCTACTCGAGACTCAGGGACTTCAAAGCGGGTAAAAAGCTCATAGCAACTAAGATGGAGTTCCAGCCCGTAAACAAATTCTTGGATAGGTTCAAGCCCTGTACATCTTCACGGTCCCCATCAGTTGTACTGGGGAAGGACAAAAGCTAAATGTTGCTCACTTCGACACCATCTCCGCAATTCATCGTCTGCTTCTATGCTGGAGACACCCTCTCCATCAAGGCTGAGTTCCTTGAGCTTCTCGATACGAGAGAATTTCTGCCGTACGCGATCGAAATTGGGCGCTTCGATCTCAATCGTACCTAGCAGAAAAACCTCTGCAGTATTGGGGGCCAGTTTTTCCTCATGGGCATTGAGGCCGCTAAGGTATTTGTCTTCTAGTGCGCGACGGAAAGTTACACCAAACGAAGTCTCCGCTGTCTGGCGAATGAATGATCCAGCGCCAGGAATGCTAGAGGTTGAAAGGTCAGAAGTATTCTAGCCCAATACCAATACGCGGCTCACCTACACTGAAAGTATACCTTTCCGTTATGTTCGCCACTATGTTTGCCCCTGTTAGGATCATCCCATTCGACGCCCAGCCAGGTACCTTTAGTCCTTTCGACTTCTCCCGTGTAACAAACGGTCCCAAGAGACCCTGAATGGCTGAGACGAGATCCAACACCCATTGATCGCTTGCAAGCCAGAAACAGATGCTGAGGGAATTTACCCGGAATTTGCCAGCTCTTGTACAACGTGGTGCCGATCTACTTCCGATTCTTGAGATCGGCTCGTTCGACACCCCTCTTTGAGTCAAAATTTTCCCTTCAGTTGCGATATTGATTGCATTGAAGCCCCTCTAGAGACAAATAGTATGTTAGAATGGCTTTCGTGTTCCCTTTCGCCATTGTACTCGACGACTCCCCGCCGGTGTTCTCTGGTGCTAGGAACATGACAATAGATGCCAACCGATGCGATTTTGGCTTGTAAAAGGGGGGTTGCTTTGGCCAAAAACATCTTATGCAGGTTGTGCGCTCTTCATGTCTGCTCAGAGAAGAGAAGTAAACGCCGAAGTTGGGGATTGCCACTTACGGCGCTTGCACATATCCAATAGCTAGGCTATATTTACTTGGGCGCACAGTGGGCATGAGCGCATTTTCCATTATCACATAAGTCACAACAACTGATCCCACTCTCACTAAAGCAGCAGGTCTTTTACTAGGTGGCATCATGGTCTGCCTTCATCTTTTCCGTCTTTAAGTTGATTGTGGCTAACTTGAGCCCCTTCCAACTGATTTCAGCCTGTTGTCGATCCAGAATGGCAAGGTAGGGTGGCGTCTACCCTAGCCCATGTCATTAGAGCGATAAAGTTTCTGAGGTGCTTCTAATGCGACCTTTTGTCTCAAGGGGCTCGAATTTCCTGGTCTAGAGACTGGTTGTCTTTTTTTCCATCGCCACGGTTGGAAAAGTGTGGGAGACACGGGTCTCCTATCTGATCTCGCCGCTTGACCTGGTTTCACCAGAGCTTCTCGTCCCACTTAGTGCGTTGGCTTACAGAGTTCTTGTGCTTAAGCCCCTAAATCCCTTGATGCCTCCCATCGGTGTCAATGGCCACACTCCTGCTTGTTAGCTATGTGTGTAACCCTCGACTTGAAAAATGGTTTTGATATCCGAGCGTTGCTTGGTTGTACTCGTCCGGCACTTCTACCGGTGCACACACACCTACGCACGGTTTGAACCACCCGAGGATGCGACTATCATGGATTCCAGATAGTGGTTCCGGCGTGCAGACGCTCCTCTCCGCATGAGTTAAAGGTGTTCATCAGTAGGCCCGTCATAATTTCTCTTCCGATAGGTTCCAACGGATGATGAGGGCGTCCCCAAGCCTTCCACTTCCAGTCCTGGTACAAGGGGGGCGCACGTACCCCCTTTCCAGCGGACTAACGCGCACATAACTCAATAGCAACCTTCGGTGGAGGGCGCTCAGCACTGATCACCCTTCCGAGTTAACGACTGAGAAAAGTGAAGTTCGTACTCGTACCAGGGACGTATGCGAAGAACCATGGGCCATTTGCTGGTTCCTCGAAGCTGGAAGCACCAGATCCCCGCCCTATAGCATAGCTCGGAATGTGTCGAACTTGCCGTCCCAACGATACGATTCTTAAACCCCATGCGCTCCAACCTCGTTAAAGGGTTGGCCACTCACCCTTACAGCTTCCATGATTTTTCTGGTTATCAAGATCGGCTACTTTTCTTTTCTTCTCTGCCGTGATTATGGTCAAAGAATATGAGTCGGAGATTGGGAAGCACCGAATACCCACCCTCAGCAGATTTCTCCACTTGATCTTGCTTAGAAAGTTCCGTCGTACTGTATGGTTTATCCAGAGAAATACTGGAGTGCGTTTTACGAGGTCTGCGTTGCGTCTCGTCGCTAACCATGGTATTATCTTGTGTTTTGGCTATGTGCCCAGCCGCAAAACTTGATGAATGACGTTTTTTCAGCGCCGCTTTGTTGCCTTCATTCTGTTGTGAAGCCATCGCCGTTTCTTGAGTGGTCAGCCACTCTATTTCATGAAGTTCCCGCTGGCTCACATAATTGAATCTTCCCGCAGATGTGGCTAAGTCAGCACTTGCGGGATGCTGTGTACGTAGATCTCGTTTCTAAGTGTACGAGTTAGTGATGTTGGAGTGGCTGATTACAGATCCCGTCTCGAACGAATGGGGGGAATACCCCGAGCTTCGAATCATGATGGGTCACACACATCGCCGTGTCTCCATCGGCATACGCACGCGATGGCTCAGAAGTAAGGAGAGCGACGCCATACATCGAACCACACATCTAAGCCCGGAAAAATGCGCTTCCAAGAGAACTCCCCCGTCGCCCAGGACCCTCGCGGTCTTGACAACGCAGTGCCTCAGCAATGGTCCATCAGCATTTCAGCGTATATAAGCAGGCACTACTAGATGAGATCCCTCGCGGAGCTGCGCTCTTTCACCTCTGTACAGTCATGACCGATATGGAGTTCACACTCTCCAACACAAGCCTACGGAATACTCAAATACACGCACCCAATGGGTCGATACTCTACACGATCATGTCCGAGACACATTTTTTCCACGCGGACAACACGACTGTGTCGCGTGTCGTCGATGGACAACTTGTCGAGATCGTCAAATTCGAATGGCATGATGCATCGGGAAAAGATGTGATGATGATGCGGGGGAGTGGGAAGATGTTGGTTAAGGATTATCTGCTGCCCAAGGGAACGTTCTCGAGGTCAGTAGCCTCAACCGTTATCTTGTTGGTTCAGAACCAGTTGAAGGGCATATCATCGCGTCGTAGTTCTAGGGCATTCCCAACACCTAACGGGGAATGGACGTGGAAATTGGATGGGCCCGTTGTGCGTTGATGCGCTGTTGGATGGTGATTGTCGCATTTTCTAATATTCATGGCGTCCCCAGGTACACGATCCAAGTGGGAACGTTCTGGCGCGCTACCAGAAGAACGAGCGTCTATTCGGCTCAAATAAATCTGCGACTGGAGCGCCAGCCTCACTTTTCGTCTCACCAGAGGCTTCGCAGCGATTGGATGACGTTGTGTTTGGGCTTCTCGTCATGCATAAGGAAAGGCAGAGGCAAGACAATGCAACTTCGGCGGGTGTTGCGGGCGGCCTTGCTGCTAGCGGAGCCATGTGATCATCAGCAGAGTTTCATGCGAGTTCCAGTCCCTACTAATCTGGGCGAAAGACTGCTGTATGCGTGGATCCGGATGTATTAATACTCTTCTGTACGCGTGCGCACTTGTTGCACATGTCATACAGGCAAATGACAACTTGGATCATAATGAGAGCGCAACGTATCAAGATGGCCGGCTGAATCATTCAGATGCATAAGCTGTGCAGCAGTGCGGTTTCCACGGCGAGGTCCAATGGGTGTGCAAATAAGTCGAGGCTGCAACAGTCTTTGAAAATGCGAGTCATATGGTTAATTTTATGGAAGCTGTAAAGATCCTGTCGCTAATGATTTATTTAACAGAATTTAGGCAGGGATCATCGTCGAATCCAGGACAAGGGCACATCGAAGGTAAAGATAATACGCGAACCCATTGCCGTACATACAGCCATTACGATACAAAAATAGATCTGGTGTGGAAACCAATAATGTACATGCGTCAGGGGGTCGCGGGGAATAAGATAGAATTAAAGAAAGCTCCGTGACCACAAATATCAAACACGACACCTTTGTTGCTTCACCCATCACTGATTCACAGGCAAGTGTATCCACCCTGCAGACTGGCTGTGAAGACAAAATGGAGCGGAGATGGCATCACTCACGTCAATAACCAACTCTGATCCCGTCGTAAACTTCGAGGCATCTGACGCGAGGAGTACCGCTGCACCTTTCAAGTCCTCTGGCAAGCCTAGCCTTTTCATGGGCGTACCACGGATCCATTCGTCCAACATACCCCTCCCGTACTTTTCCACTATCGGACCTGTCATCGATGTCTCGATGTATCCTGGACTGATCGCGTTCACGCGAATCTGGTGTTCTGCCCATTCGCATGCAAGCGACGCAGCCATCTGCCGGACGGCCGCCTTAGATGCATTGTACGGCATCTGAAGTTGTGGCCAGTTTACAATCTAATTTTCAAGGTCCACGAGTGAAAATCGGAAATGATGCACTCGTGATAAACTTACTCTTCCACTCATACTTGAAATGAAGATTATTGACCCGCCTGTGCCTAATGCCATCATATGTTGGGCGGCTGCGCGAGCGCAGTAGAATGAGCCGTGCACGTTTACGTTGTAAAGGGACTTCATCCGCTCCGAAGGATACCTATTTAGGCGCTCTAAAAACATTTAAATTACGACTGGATAGTCAACGTACTCGAACGATGAATAGTTGTGGACAACACCTGGCGACATCCGAAATAAATTAGAGCTCCGCTAAGTTTCAAAAACGAAATGCAGACGCTGTAGGACTCACCGGCTGCGGTAAGTATGCAATCAATCTTTCCCCACTTTTCCACAATTTTCCCCATACTCTCCTGGACGGCACGCTCGTCCGTAACATTCAGCGGGTAAGCCACCACTTCAACTGGGCCTATACCCTTCTCAGTAGCCCATTCCGAGAGATTTGTGGCAGCGGCCTCCGTGGCGTCAGGTGAAAGATCGACAAGGGCAACCCTGGTGCTTCCACTGCGTGGGCATAAACCAATGCGAAACGTAAGGTGACCAAAGTTAAATGGAATACACCTGGATACAAACGACTCAATGAAAGCCTCGGCGAAACTGTAGCCTAAACCCCTTGCTGCGCCGGTAATGACGCAGACCTGCATAAACACAGTAGCGGATGAGTAAGACGACGAGAGCTGCAAAAGTCGAATATTGGAGCCATTATCTATGGCCCCAAGTACGAACTTTATCCTCCAGACTGAGTGTCTCAAGTGTCCGACAAAGAGGGTAAGTCTTCGCCACATTATTGAGGCTACTGCGGGATGAAACAAGACGTCGAGAAGGAGCCAAGACCGCCGAGCGAGTTTGCGCTCCCCGAATCGCAGGCCCGAGACAGATAGAATTCAGTGTTCTGGCCGCCGAGAGGATTCGATACATATCCCCTCGAGTGGAGTGTAGTAAGGAAGCAAGCATGTGGTTCAATGGACTAAGAGGAGATGAAGCGGCTTGCAGTCAGGACAGAGTACAAATAGTGAAGTAAGGCACAGGGAAGAAAGGGGCTCGCTTGCTGTACTAGGTAGTGATGCATATTATTTACCACCACGAAGCGGAAGTGTGTCGGAAGTGTGAGGTGTCTCAAAGATGACGTCTGGGTGGGTGACGACTCCGACCGCCGCTGGTGTAAGGTTCATCTGACGACACAAGGCGGAGATGCTGTGAATGTTGGAAACTGGTACTCCAACGGACTGAAGCAGCTCCGAAGACAACACCCTAATAGAGCAGGTCTGCTCTTGGGTCGACTGATTTAGACCTCAAAACCCTGAGGTCAAACAAACATCAATATTGCTGTGCGGGATCATCGCCATCGGATCTCCGGTTTAGCGCCGGATCACGTGAGGACTTCTCGTCAAGTCCCTGAAAGGCAAACAGGGCGACACCCACGTCTGTTGGACATCCCTCCTGGTTCCTCATCATCTAGTAGGCTGAAGGGCCTTTTCTTGATATGTTCTGGAAGTAAATTGGGTCGTTTCTCGAGTCCCAGGCGAAAGCGCGCTAATTACTGTTCAAACACAGGAGATTTGCATTCCAGCAGACGTCGAGCATCGATACTCTCCTGGATAGGGAGGATGCTGACCTTGAGTCTATTCTGGATGACGATGATCTCTTAAGTGAATGCAAGAGCCAGAACACGCGTCTGATTGACTATTTCCAACGAACGGATGTCCTACGCAAGCTTCTCGGTTATGCATCAGGAGAGATCGAAGGGGATGGTATGGGACGCTTCAAGTGAGTGAATCGTGCCACTATAAACCCCTTATTTTCGCACTATCTCTACAAGCACCCGGCCTTTATGTGCGTGAACCGCGCGCTTTTGGTCATGTTCCCCAACCATTCAATACCCAGAGTTTGACTCTTGCTCACATAGATACCCACATGTGTCGACAGAAGTTCTATGTTGCGAGATATGGTCTATTGTTGAGACCTGTGTGCGAGAGTCGGAGCAACTCCTTGTCCCATTCTGGGACGCCATCCTGGATACCCCCCCTCAACAATTAACCCAGAAGCCATTACTGGCTTCTCACTTCACAAAGATCAATGCAGTCTTCATGTCTAAAAAGCCCAAGGAGGTTGTTCCACTCTCTGTGTGCAAGTCGCACTTCATCTTGTTGACGATTATTCACAGATGCTAGACTTCATTACAAGCCAACCTTCCATACTTGAACGGTTAATGAGGCATCTAGAGACGCCTGCAATTGTTGATCTATTATTTCGCATGCTGCAGACGGATGACGCTTCTGGCGGCTCTGACGTTGTTGAGGTTCGTGATATGCCTCCTATGCAATGGGTGGCCGTCTCATCCCAGCTTCGTCCCCCAGTGGTTGTCCTCGCAAGGTTTCATGCAGAAACTTGTCTCACTACTGTCACCACGTCATCCTCCTGATCTACATGCCATCGTTGCGGAGATTCTCAAAGGAATCATTGTCATGTGTGCACCTTCCCCTGCTAACGCGAACGAGAGCCAAGTCGTCTTAGTGGCGAACCGATTCCCACGTCAACTAGTGTCGAAAGACCTGATTCAGAGCCTCGTAGGCTTCATGCTTGATGATGCACCGGAAAGACGAACCAGCATTCGCAGCGTGTCTGCAATTCCACATTCGAACGCAACGCGTGAGAATGATGACGATGTTCAATCCGATTCTGAGTCACTATCCTCGGGCTCTGAATATCATTCCGCGACTTCAACGGGTACCGAACGATCAACTTCATCTCTCCTCCACGTCGCTTCAGTCATCATTGAGCTCATGCGCAAAAATAATTCAGACTTCTTCGAGCCGTATTTATTTCACACACTCCGTCATCGTTTAATCCAAGTTCAGCAACAGTATATTCCCACAATAATTAGAACGACTTCGGACCCCCAAAAGCGTGCAGGGGAGGATCGCGAAATATTAGAACAGAATATGGATAGTATGGTTGATCAAATGGGGATCGTCCACTTTGGTGGTCTGCTGGAGATATTGAGCGACCGGCTATCCCAGTTTCAGGCCTTGCTCAAGAGCCCTCGCTCATTTGTGAGTCGTCACACTGCACTGACATTTTTGCATGGGGCTCATATATTCTAACATGGAGAACGGCCCAATATTGACGACAGTCGGCGAGGTTGTGCCGCTCACACTCGAGCGGTTTCGTATATGTGAGCTATATGCTGAGCTCCTTCATTGTTCAAACATGTCACTCCTCAACCGTCCCGTTGGTTATGGCCCTGCATATGACGATGAGGGTCGCTTAATGGGCGGGCTGAGTGCTCTGGAGGAACTGGCACGAGTAGTATCCAATGGAGGCATGGACGATTCCCCCACACCCCCACCTCAGGTTGAAAGGCCCCCGGAAACAGAAACCGAAGAGCCAACTCCGTCACGAGACCTGCAAGCTTCTTTCGCCTCCACGGACTTGTCGGTCGGCTCCATCACATCTGGAGGTGACACAGAGTATCTTAGCAACCTGGGAGACGACAGAAGCGAAAGCGGAAGCGATGACAGTGGTCACATGGAAGAGATTAATATCCATGAGGATGGGTCCGCCGTTCGACAGCGTCGTGAACCCTTGCCACCGGCTCCTTTTGCAGTGCCGAGCCCGAGATCACAGCCCCATCCCCTTCCAGACACCGAATCATCTTCAATTTCCTCTAATGCCAATCTTTCTGCGGACAGTTCAACTCCTCAGGAACCTGTAGAAGACATTGACCCGTTTACGTTCACGGACCCGAATGAAATACCGCCGAGCCCACCATCTGATGCTACGGGCATGTCGGCCTCTATCATATCATCGGTGTCCTTAGACACGTCACGACTTATCTCAGTTAGGGATGAACCTGAAGGAATTTTGACACTTTCACGATCAAGTCCGGATCGTCCTCAAATGCCGCCCGGCGACATGTTTAAGTCACGATTCCTCGAATTGGACGTCATCTCAACCCTATTGGTATTTATTGCTTTCACCTCATTCTGACCACCATACTGAGTGTCAGTGTAGGATCTATTCTTTGATTTCCCGTTGAATAACTTTCTTCACAACGTTGTCTACGATCTACTTCACCAAATTATGACCGGGCGCATGGATAGGGCTCTCAATCGCGAACTTGTCATGGCATTGTTCCGTGAGGGTCGGTTGTTCCATCGTATCATCGAAGCACAAAGGCGTAATGACGAAGCATGGTCAGGATCCCCATAAGTTCTCCACCCTTATTTTTAGCTAATGCGGTTGCCCCAATAGCTCGAAACCGAAGGGTGTTAGACTTGGATTCATGGGACATCTGACATTAATATCCGAAGATGTCATTAGTGCACTGTCCCATTACCCCCGCGAACTGATGGAACGGCTGTCTCAGTATGCACCACAGCCAGAATGGGACCAGTATGTGTCTGGACGATTCCAGGAGACCAAGGAGCGAGACGCAAGCCAACTTGGCGGAGGGAAACCACTTATTCTATCGGCTCCATTGCGGCCCGGATTAGGAGCCATCGGAAATGCAAGGGCCGGGGGCCTGGCTGTAGATGAAGGGGATGGTTTGGCGCTTAGAGAGACGGGGACCTTCACTAAGGTTGGATCAACTAATGGAATTGGGTCTGCCCCAGTCCAGAATGTTGTTTTTGCCGCCAGAAATGAGGATGATGAAGACGATGATTCAGCCCCTACAGGTCGGGTGAGAGAATGCGTCTGATTCTTCAGTATGCATTTTCACTTATCTTTTTCGAAGTTCGCTCGATATTTGGTTCAACAGCTCAACTCGATGGCGAGCTCCCAACTTGAATCTTCATCATCTGATAATTCTGACGACGACGATGATGCCAACTGGCTCAGTGATTCTCCACAGGCTGGTGACTTTGACCTGTCCGCGGGCAACCAACCTTCCAACAATCGCAGAGCATTCGGCTCCAGTACCCGGCGGGTATTTGGGGCTGCTTTCCACGTAAGTAAAGCTCAGCATGGTTCACGTCACTCTTGACCCATTCAATGCGTCACAGGATTCATTTGCCGACTTTGAGACCGGCCCAAAGAAATTCTCGGAAGAGTATGTGAGTTGATTGGGCGTCCGAGCCATACGAACCTTGTTCACATGTTTGAAAGGATCAATTTGGTTCACTTGGTGACTCGCATGCGGGCAAAACGTCACTTAATTTCTCCGAGTTCACCGACAACTTCGCCTTCCCATCATCATCCACAAATCCAACCTTCGAGCTTGATAATGAGTTTGGCGGGCATTCACCATTAGAGGGTTTCTCGTTTGGGGGCCGCAATTCATTTGATGAAGATGACGACGGCTTTGGTGACTTCCAGACTGCGCCAATGTTGGAAGTGATTGCGAGCACAAGCGCAGACGGTATCACGCAGAGTTTGGATTCATCGCAGAACGACGATTTCGTGGACGAAGTTATTCATGGCCTATCGGCCGAGCACAGCATGAGGGGCGGAAAGGATCAAGAGGATGGCGAGCGGACACCGCGAGCAAGTAAACCACTTTTCGACGATTCGTTCGGCGAGAACTTCGAGGAGGTGAATTTGGATCCCGATACCTTTGGGTCGCGTCGGAAGAATTATTCCTATGTTTCCAGCGACGACCCTTTCATTCATCCTCCGATAGCAACATCGTCTGACGAGGTCCCGAAGTCACACGCAATGGCTGAGTTGGAGCGTTCGTTTGGGAGTGTTTCACTGGACAAAAATCAGCAAGGAAATTTGCTTGATGCCTTCAGTTTGCATGTTCAGCCATCCAAATTGGGATCGCCCACAAGAACGTTCCGTCTTGAGGATGGCGAAGACCCCGCTTCCCGATTCCCCCAATACTTCACATCTTCGCATTAAATCCGGTGTATGGTATGGACTCATTTATCCATTTTTCATCTGTATTTACCACACTGTTGTCACTATAATATCGTCATCTATGCAGCAACCGGGAGGCTCTGAGCAATCCGAGCGGCGAGTTGAGTTTGATGACTCACAGTCATGGTGTGAAACGGTAACCTCCAGCTCGATCAATTGCGTGAAGTTCGAGCGAAACAATATTTTCCGTGGACTGCGGTAGAGCAAGCCCGGCTGTAATCTTGTCCCCAGTACGGATAGGGCCTACTCCTGATGGCGTCCCAGTGAGAAGTAGATCACCCTCCTAGGAAGTTTAAGCCTGAATTAGACGATGCCGTTGAATGCAGAAGAAGACAGGTCCCTCAAAGGTCATGATAGATGAAACGTGCTCAATTAACCGAGGGATCTTGTATATCATGTCCTTTGTATTTCCATTTTGTCTAACATCGTCGTTCACCTTAAGGAAAGATGAGTGGAGGTGTGATGAGAGATGAAAGGGCATTGTGGAGTGTACCTTGAGCCAGAGGTTAACATTGTGCGGGTCCGAAATCGCAGATTTCGGTATAAATTCGCTACGGGGACAAAAAAAAATAGATGCAGGGGACAGGGAAAATGCCCTTGGCATTGCTAACCTGATAGGTGTAAATGTGTCGAAGCCTTTCGCGGTGGACCAGGGCAATCCCTTCTTCTTCACGTCTTCTTGAATATTCCGCGCGGTCATGTCAATAGCTAGTGCTGCGAAGGCCATTGGGCACGCCTAGCACTCAAAGGTACGTGGTCACGAACCATAGCCAGCGATGAAAGAATAGGCATCCGACTTCGATATGTCACGTCCGCCCTTGCCAATCACCACGCCAAGCTCAACTATGGGAGTCCATTTCCGCATCAGCACGTGTGAGACGCATTCCTCGCAATGCTACGTTTTATTCTTACCCTCATGGTGAACGACACATCCCTTCGGAATCTCGATGATTCCTTTGTTGGGAGTGTACGACGATGTTGGCTTCAAGAAGAAAAATGGCTCTCTAGGTGACGTATTCCCTAGCTCCTTGGCATGTTCTGCAAAGTTTCGCCCGATGGCGACAATCTTTCGACCCGTTCGAACGAAAGTCGCCATGTCCGTTCGCACAATGTCGAGTGGCAGTGCTTCACACTCCACCAAATAGGACAGCATTTTACTAACGTATGGCCGCAAGGGAGACTGATTCAAATGTTTCTGCGTTGGTCACGCTGGGATGTTGCGCGATTGGGGAACTCAACTGTAGTTATGGTGCCCACGGGCTTGCAAGAGTGCTGGGGCCCATCTCCTGAATCCTACATAATGGGCACCTCGCGATGTCCAGCGACCATCCAGCGGCCATGCTGAAGTATTTCAAGGGTCTTCTGTTCTTAATATGATGCAGTAATCGTGCAAGCGAGACGCTTCAGAGTCCGTTCAGTCTGATAGCGGCTTGCTTGCGAAGGGTCCGACGCGGGGATCTTTGTCACCAGTCTCGAGAACTAAGGATGATCCTATCCTTGTTGACTTTCGAGATTTTCTCATCCGCTCAGCATCAGTCACAACGGTTTGAAGATGCTGCAGCCATCTTTTGACAGCGATATACTTCGACAAAGTCGCTCATTATAAGTGTAATTTTGCCACTCAGGGATTTCCGTGTTGCAAACTATGTTCATCACGAACCCAGGTACTGTCATCATTATCCCAAGCCAAGCGGCGAGGAACTCCGGGTTGCTGAACGGGAGAGCCTTCATACCTGTTCCCTGGATCAAGGGTATGTGCTGCTGTGATCCATCAATGCGCAGGCGCACCGAAGACATAGAAGCTGTGCTGCGCTAAGAGTGGGGATCAACGCGAAGAAAAGTATGGATAATGTGTTTATCCGGTGAGCCTGTGGCGTTTCAAGAGGCCAAGTAATATTCTTTATACATTGATGATTGAGATTACCAAAGAAAAAGGGACGGACGGCGGCGATGAGATTGGCATCAGGTGTTTTCCCCTACATTAGGAGGCTGGGATCTCGAGAGGCCTTCATCACAACTTTTCTAGGATCGAGGCTTCTCTAGATGGTCCCAAATGATGCAAATGCGAATGCTTCCTTGATAATATAATGTCACCCTTCAGCATCATGGGATGCCGAACTGAGAAGAAATTGGACCACCCCCTCCTACTCGTCTTAGTGTCAGCACTTCTGCGGAGATCAGTCGACAATTCGGACAAGACCGACTGGGCAGGAGCCTGCCTCAGCGCTATCTGTCTCTTCATTAGCCTACAATATATTCAAAAAAAGACCAGTCAGGATAAGTTTTTGTCGCGACGCGGGGCAGTTCAGCCATATCTCTTTTATCTCTTTCGATGTCTTAGGCCTTAATTCCGTCGCTCCCTCGGACCTTTATTCAGAACCAAGTTGCTCGCGACGCCGGGCCTTTGCCATTTAGTAACATGCGCACGTCAGTGTCAGGTTCTATCGTTGAATTTCTATGCGCGGAGCCTGATCTATCGGAAAGAACTTCCTTTCCTGGACCGGGCTAGTTCGGTGATCCTCTCATGACCGTAACCTCGCGACTATCATCGGCCTCGATCGAAACCAAGAAATTTATGGCAAAATTTGGCCAGCACACATGATAATCTGTCCGTCGACATAATCTTGATAACGGTTTTATTCTCCACGAAGCATAAATTTGTTACATATCCACAAATCAAAAGTCCGATAGATGCCAGTTAACAAGAGGAACGAACGAAGGGAAGGACCTAGGGTTAGTTCCCCCAACCCTAAGTAACCGGACTTCCACGAGTGCGTGCAGGTTCCACCAAAAAGAAGCACGTAAAGCATCCCAGACGCGACATCGATAGGATGTGGGGTAGAGAGAAAGAAAACGAACGATGTAAATGAGTGAGGCGATGATATCGGTCCGCGTTGAGTAGGACAAAACAAGGAATCACGACAAACGTATCTTATCGACAGAGCTCCCGTTCCGCGAATGCACCGTATCTGCGATCTGTCTCACGGCGGGGACAGGGGGTTGAGGGAGAGACCTAGGAATTTGGGCATGCTGATTACCCGAGGGTTGCTTCGTCAGGGTGTTACCCTTGGATTCCGGAGAAGTAATGCCAAGATCAGGGGAGGTCATCGGCGTCGAGGGCGTCATGTCGGTCGACCAACCCGAACGAGGGTTCGCTTTGGATGACCCTGATCCGGAATCGGTGTGCTGACTTTCTGAGGAATCTGGTGAAGTATTATTCGTTTCCTGAGTACCTGGTTGAGCGCTCGCATCAACTTTCGTAACATTCACCGGTGTAACCGCGGCTGGCCTTGTGACCCGCGTGCCGTCCAGCTCTGCGAGGCACAGCAAAGGGACAGCACCAACTTGCATCGCCTGCTTCTCATTTTCATCTCCGGGTTTGGAAGGGTAGAGCCTCCGAACATAGCACCAGTCATCGGCAAAAACTCGTATAAGGCGGAGCGTTTCATTGAGTGTGACTTCCATTTCATCGGGAAGTGAAGGCGGGAAGGTACCCACTACTTTGACAAGACGTGGAAGAGGGAGATCGGTCGCTCGGTCCTGCTTTGATCGGGCTTCAAAATTAGCCAGGTACTCAGCAACAGAGGGGGGCGTGGGAGGAAAAAATGGAGGGGTCTTGTCAGATTCAGCCGTACGATTCGGCTGGGATGATTGGCGGTACTGGTTCCGCGGAAGCGAGGAGTACCGAGGCGTATTAGGTACATCGTACCGGAAGTCAGGGATGCTCAGTTCCTGTCCACTCTCTGAAGAGTCGTCCTGGGTTGCGGCGAGAGGCCGTCGTGTTCGTTTCGAAAGGCTAGGGGTACCGGGACGACTTGATATTGGTCGTGTTTCGCTGCGACTTCGGCTGCGATTGCGACCATGGCGTTCATGGGAGTGCCCACGCTCATGATGTCTTCGCCGTTCGGGATCTGGGACAGGCTTGCGTTTTATAAGGTCCTGGGAGGGCTCTCTGGTCATGGCGGGGGGAGCGTCTAAAGCCTTAGAAATAGGTTTTATATGAGGAAGACTATAGTTATTGAAATCACCCAATGAAGGATTTTTGAATACAGTGGGAGGGATTCCATGTTGGTTGACGACCGTTACACTCGAAGAATTAGAAGATTGTTGCATGTGGTGTGTCTTGACGAACAGGGGGATGCTTATGGACATAGGGCTAGGTGCAACACCACTCTCTTCGAGGTTAACTTGGGTCGCCTCAGCCTTTCTGGCTTGATATTGTTGCTTTAGTGCAAGCGAGATAGGGCGCATCCGAGCAACAGGATCCATTTCCGGGGAAGTATCATCATATGGTCCCTCCTGGATACGCGGCTGGACCGGGTTGGACTGGAATGGGTTTGAAGGGAGGGAGTAGCGTGGGCTTTCCGCAATTAAAAGGACTGAATTCTTTCTTTCCTTCGCGGTGGTATCGACGGAGTTGGCTTCGGAAGCCTTGCTCTTTGGAGGCTGATTACGCCAGGCTTTAAAACGTGACAAACCATATTTATAAAAAAGAATACCTATGTTGCGCAAAGAGTAACTAATAAGCTCAATCCTGAGGGAATGGATTAATGGCTGGAGGCTTACACAACGCAATGGTGAGTACGGCACTAAGGATGGATGCTAGAATGGCGGTAGACACGGCGACGCCCTGACCAGGCTTCTGGGTAGCTCTTGGCCGAATCTTGGTTGAGGTCTCGGCTGCGGTGAAGTTCAAATTTCTTCTGGAGGCGCCGCTGCGAGGGCTGTGTCCACAGTACAGGTATGCACACACCCCAACACTCGGTTTCAATGCTTTCGATCGGTCCTCAATAAGTGCTGGATCACTGAGTGTGACAGCCCTCTCATCACTCCCCTCAGTTTTACGAGAGAGGGTAGAGGCTCCTCTATGCAGTGCCCGTGGATGGATATTACGCTTGCCTCTGGTCAAACCACGACGGTTTTGGGAGGCTGAGACCCGCCCACTGAAGCGGGCGGATAAACGGTCCACAAATTGATGGGAGCTTTCGATGATGTCAACGAGAGCGGGGGGCATCACTTCCGAAGCCACTCCAATTTCAGCACCAGGGTGGCCGTAAGCTCCTCTGAATAGCGATGGGGTTGGAAGGATCGCAAGGGAAAAGGAAGGAACAAAGGGAGGGAACGAGGGTGCAAACTTGAGTACCCGGTGTCCCTAAACGTCATTTATAAAGATCATCCAATGGACTGGCAGGGGTCTACATTTTCAGCATCCCATCATGATTCTGATACGCAATTCGGTTGCCTCTGCCGGTCGCCAATTGCAACCATCGAGGGAGCCCTGCAGACACGAGCGGGCTTATGATCCCAGACACTTGGTTCTGGGCATCTAATACGTTCCACTGCTAGCTCCTACAATTCTCGAGTGCTGAGCGTATGGGTGTGGTAATGGAGAATAAAAGTGAAATGTTCTCGGATCTGACAGGCATAGCCACAGATTCGATCATAGTTTCCCTCATCACAAGACATCACGAATGTTGTGGCGCATTCAAAAGTCAGACATGGTGGGATGCATCAGATAATGATGAGACGAATAGTTCGGGGCATGCAAAAATGAGATTATAACTACGCAACGAGAAGAGGTAATAAACAGAACCTGACGAGTCCAGGAGGGAGACGACGAACACAGCAAGGGAGGTGGAGCCGAATTGCAACGCCTAGCACGATCTATCAAAAAGGACGAGCCCAAGCTACGCAAATGGAGCACCACAAGCATTCAAGACACGAATAATCGCGCTTCATCGCAGACAGAGGAAATAGTTATACGCCAACCACAGATTCAAGCCTTATCCTTTCCAGTTTTACAATCAAACGGTTAATTGACCTGTAAAAGCTGGACCCAGGAGCCTCAGTCAGTCAAAAAAGGATAGCCATAAGAGTGTCTAGCTTACCAGTCAGTATCTCGCTTCGCGGTCATCTCTGCGATCATATTCCCTGTGGCGGTCCCTGTCATCGCGCCTATCAAATTCCCTATCTCTGTCATCTCTTCTAAAATCATCACGATCCCTGTCACGCCTATCATAATCCCTCTCCCTGTCGTCCCGCCTTGGGGGCGGCGAGCGGCGGCGGGTATAGTCATCCCGTCTATAGGGAGGGAACGTTCACGATCATAATACCTCCTGGGAGGAGAGCGCTCGTCATACCGACGCGGAGGCGAACGAGAGCGTCGCGGAGAACGATCACGGTAGCGGTCTTTACTATTCTACGGAGAAGGATAAACGAATCGAAGTGGGGACAGTGCGAACAACTCACATCTCCATGCTCGACACGAACGCTAACGCCACGGAGGTCCTTGCCATCGAGCTTTCTCACCGCATCATCGGCATCCTCCTGAGTGACGTATTCGAGAATCCTGTAATAGGAGCTGTACATCACTGAAGTGATGATGAACCCAAACGTAACCCACCCGCTGCCAGGATAGTCGATGTCGGCAAAAGTAATCTGACCACCGGTGTCACGACCGAAATCCTTGAGATCCTAGAAAGAGGTAGGCCAAAGTTGGGGTGAGGTTCCATCCAGGCGGGTAATCCATTCCAAGGGTAGGAACAGAGGGACGGGCCGGGTCCAAAAGGCAGCACAAAGAGGCATCCACCGCGGTTTACATGTAAAGGTGGCCGTAAAGTCCAATGCTCTTCGCACCAACGCAGGGAAGTTCGGTGAATCACCAAATCCGATCCGCGAGATCCGACAGGAGAGCCTTTGTCCATTAACTCAACCGCACAAAGTACCATCAAAATATCCGGCCCCATTCCAAGCCATAACGAAGGGCGTTCCTAAATAGACATGAAAGAGGATACTCACTTGCCAACTCGTATCCCTGGACAGGCCAGTGACAATGACACGATGGCCTGGAGGAGGTCTCCTAGCACGAGGGGGAGGGTCACGACGACGTCTGAGTTACGTTTGGCAAAGATCAACGCCAATAGTTGCCACATGTCAACAAGTACTCACTCGTCACGACGCCTGTTATCACGGGCAAACTCCACAATTATACTGTTACCCATGAATTGTGTTCCGTTGAATTTCTGCACGACGTCCTCGGCATCCTACCAAGACAGCCCACGTATTAACAATGTGTTTCGCGTAGACTATCCAACGCGCTTACTTTGGGATTCTCGAACTCAACGAAGCCAAATCCTGCAAGCGCGCATCAACAGTCAGGTCATTTGTATCCAGTATTTAACGGACCAGTCATAACCCGACATTCGGTGACGGGCCCATACCCATCAAAAAGCTTTTGGACGTCTGACTGTTGGGCATCCGTCGGGAGACCTGTGTTTTATGATGACAACGGCGCAATTCAGGCGTTGATGGTCGGGAACGTATTACGCAGGACGCAAGGAGAAAGGGAAAAACAACATACGGCCAAGGTACAGCCTACGAGACGACATTTTATGTTCTCCTGGAGTTGAGGTCGGTTTCCGCAACGATTTTCTTGTCTTTTCAGAATGTTGCAACCGTTCAAGCTTTTGTTGGAAGGCTATTGCCGCTTCGGGTGCTTCCGGCGGACTTCTAAATTTATTTGAAACTCCGAACAGGCATCCTTGAATTCACCTCCAAAACAACTGCCCGGAGCATGCATGGAAGGAATCCACAAGCAGCGAAAATGACATTTCCAATGTATGTAGTTTGGTCTCATATCAGGGGATCCTCAAAACAAACGGACTGGCCCATTCTTAATGCTGAGATTGGGACCAATCAATGGATTTTAGATCGATTCCTTCCTGGACCATCTCCCAAAGTGGGCTGTTGGGTAAAGTGTCTCAGATAAAATGTTCTAGTGGAGCAGAAAGGAAAACATGCCTCATGTCACGCAATCGATTGACAACTTCTACAATCTCAGCCACTACATAATCGATCTCCGCCTCGGTTGTAAAACGACCTATACCAAAGCGGAGAGAGGAGTGTGCCATATCCTCTGCAGCCCCGAGTGCTCGTAGGACGTATGACGGTTCAAGGGAAGCTGAGGTGCACGCGCTGCCCGAGGATAAAGCGATTTTCTGACAGAAATCCAGGCTTTAGCGCAAAACCGAGAAAAGGAGTACGCAGAAGAAATCACCTTGAGAGCCATTAGAAGACTTTCGCCCTCGACATATGCGAAACTGAGGTTAACACAACCCGGATACCCATTCGGGTCACCATTCCGTACAACATGCTCCACTTTCGACATAATCCCATTGATGAGGCGCTGGGAGAGCTTGCTTACATACGCATGATCGAACTATGGCACAACAGCAGCGTGAGTGGACAGCGGTGAAAGAAATAAGTGAAGAAGAATGGAAGGACAACAACTCAGCACCCCTGCACGGCTGGTCACTGCCAAGTCGACAGCTCGAACTTCAAACTGTCACTCGACTACCTTGAAGGACATGTTACATCCTTGTGCAGAATATAATCATGGGGCCACCAATGCAACGGAGAAGTATGGGAGAGGGAATATACGTACAACTATCTCGCGAGTCGCAATTCGACAGGCCTCCCCAAGACCCACAACCAACGGGGGAGGAAGGGTCCCGCTCCTCAGCCCTCTCTCTTGGCCACCGCCACTGATTATCGGTTCTAATCTCACTCGAGGTTTCCTTCTCACGTAAGCGGCACCAATACCCTTAGGCCCATAAATTTTATGCCCCGAAATACTCAGCAAGTCGATGTTCATCTCGTTCACATCGAGTGGTATTTTCCCAGTGGCTTGCGCAGCATCCGTGTGGAAATATACCCCCTTGTATTTTTTAATGAGTTCTCCTATCTCCTTTATGGGTTGAATAACGCCTGTTTCGTTGTTCACCGCCATAACGGAGACCAAGCTAGTGTTGCCAGGTTGAATGGCCGCCTCGAGGTGTGCCAGATCAATAACGCCATTCGATTGAACGGGGAGATATGTAATATCGAAACCCTCTTCGGATAGGTTTCGGCATGAGTCAAGCACGCATTTGTGTTCAGTTTGTGTGGTGACAATATGTCTCCGCCGTTCCTTGTTAAAGCGTGCAACGCCTTTGATGATCATATTATTTGACTCGGTGGCGCCAGAAGTGAAAACAATATCTTTCTCATCAGCACCAATGAGGTCAGCCACATGCTGTGGGTGGCGATGGTAAGCAAGTCTCAATGGAAAAGCCAGAACACTAGCCTTGCGAGCAGCGTCAACGGCAGCCTCTGCCTCCCATCCATAAGAGTGGGTCCTGCTATGGGGATTGCCATATTGCTCTGTCAAGTAGGGCAGCATTGCATCGAGCACTCGAGGGTCCATCGGTGTCGTCGCCTGCGAAAGGAACAAGCCCCATGAGGGGTTCGATAAGGTGGAGAGTACTAGTCCCTACCTGCATGTCAAGGTAGATAGGACGGTCATTCCGCCTCACTGGCTCGAGCGTGAAACCGAGCGAGCCTGCAACAGACGACCCAGTAAGCACCGCCGTCCCAAGTAACGGCTACATGAGAGATAATAGCTACCATGATTCGGGGAAACGACGTCTTCGGAAACACTCGGGAGATCAATGACAGCCGCCCTATCGAGAGTGGTAGGTTGAACGAAGCTTCTCCTTGCACGCGACGCCACAGCTGAGATTGCGGCCTTAGAGACCGCGCCGTTACGAGTGGCAGATCGAAACGCCTTGGAGAGTATCATGGCAAACAATCCCGCTTGCTTTACGGATGAGAAGATGTTGGTGTGAGGAATGGAGGGGAGGTGACTGAGGGATATCGCAAATATGATGTTACATGACGCGTCACGTGTGTATCAGGCGTGGGAAGCATCGCACAACTTTCCAGTCACTTTGCACTTTTCTCCACCACGACCAGAGTAACGCATTGTGGGCAAGCAGCGTCCATGCTGCGCATAGGACCTACATTTGCTTTCCAACCATTCTCAGCCTCGATTAGAACGAGTATCTGGGGTGGTGTCATGCGTCGTCCTCTTGCATCTGCACCCACCACGAGATTGATTGCTGTTTCAAGACATATGACAACTGCTTCTCCACCTGGCGATTCCAGCAGCGCCCCTGATAGACGGGATAACGTATTTCCAGACGAGGCATGTCTCTTGTTTGCTTCTGTTGCAACTACGGCCAAATTGACGCCATAATCTCCATGCCCCGCAAATTGAATTCTTTAAATATAAAAAATTCATCACTCTTTCTCAACTAGACTCCCGTCCTCTTTGAGTCTGCATACTCTTCCCGGACGTTCATACTCAATCAGCCAAAAACTCTCAATGCTCTTGACCAAGGGATGATCAATCTTATATCACCAAAGATTAAGGTGAAGTATCATACTCGCGCGCAGCCTCACGCCACGATTGCTTAAGTTGAACTCTATTCTGGGCCGTTATGACATCGGCTGCCACATTTCTAATGTGGTGTTGAACTGCTCTCCCTCTCCACTCAAACTCTTCTGATTTGAGAAACGTTTTTAGGAGTGGGACAATTCAAACCTGTGTAAGATGATCATCAGTAAAGGAATCGGAAGAGCGTATTGTGCCGGCGGTGAAGTTAAAAGTATGTTTTGTCTCCTTGGACATATGCAATTGCTGTCTGGAGGGCCTATCTTCTGAAACCTTCCAGAAATTTCTAATATGTTCATAACCTTTAGCCATTGTCAAGTATGCTGCAAACGAGAAAACAAGACAGAGGGCACTAGACTACTTTAAGAGCGAGTGAGCCTCATCTTCCGGCTGCATGTCCAAATCCTCAACCCTTTTATTTTGTCATCCTCTTTCCCTACCAGATTCCAACTAGACTATGATTTAGCAACACTGCAGAAGCCCTATATCTCCGTGATGGAGGGTATAACTAGTAGGTGCCACACCTTCAATCGTTAGGCCGCGCCCAGTTTACAAGACACCATTCTCGTAATCTCTGCCTATTTGCCTCGGACTCAGTGGGCGGTGGCGTCGGACTCTCAGCGTATGCTCGATTTCGCATCGCAACACCTTCAACCCTCTTCGCCATGCCTGAAACCAAGATAGGATATGCTCCCGACGTCGGAACAACATATATCCTCTCCCGTCCTCGCCTCGACGGCGAAATAGGGACTTATCTTGCTCTAACGGGAGAAACTATCAAAGGCTATGAAGTTTTCCGACTCGGCCTGGCAACTCATTACGTCGATTCTAGCATTATACCAAGTTTACTCGAACGATTGGGAGGATTGGAGGAGCCCAATGACAAGGTTATCAATGAAACTATTGAAGAGTTTAGTTTGGATGTAGACGCGGAAAGGGAGAAGGAAATGGGAGTGGATCAGCTTATGATCAGTACAGGAGCTGTTCGAGTCGCACTGGATTTAGCATTCGGGGTGAAGGATATTGAGGGTGTTTTCGATACACTGAGAAAATTTTCGAATGGTGCGTTTTCTGGAAATACGGAGGATAAGGAGAAGGTCAGTAAGTGGGCGAAGGAGACACTGGAAGTGTTGAACATGAGGAGCCCAACGAGTTTGAGGGTTGCATTTGAGGCTGTTAGGAGGGCAAGCAGAGAGGATTGGAGGCTAAGCGATTCACTGCAGATGGAATTGGGAATTGCCAACGCATTTTGCGTAAGTAACCGTTCCTGTTCCCTGCAATCCTTTCCGGATCTGATATCTATTGTATTTTTCGGCAGTCGGGCGGCTCACCTGACTTTATCACAGGCGTGACAGCCGTTCTCTTTGAAAAATCCAAATCCCGACCAAACTGGTCTCCCTCCACCCTCCCCGAAATTTCTCAGTCCCAGATCATCTCGACTTTTTTTGACCCTACCTCTCCATACGTCTCAAACGCGCCGCGTCTTCAAACTCCACGTACATCCGTCCAAATCAGCCTCTCCCATTACGCTCTGCCGACCGAAAGTGAAATCAGGGCGCTTGTTATGAGCGACAACGGCGGAGAGAATGCATTAACGAGAGAGGAGGTTGTGGAGCGGCTTGAAGTTAATAAAAGTGGGAAGAAGGGGGTCAGAGCCAAGGTGGGGGAGGTCATCGACAGACAGTGCGAAACTTTCCAAGGAGAGTACCTCAGATGGAAGACATGGCAGTAGCGAAGTGCAGTGGGGGGATGTCGACCGAATCCGAATCCGCGTTGCCGAGCATCGCGTAGTCCAAGGACCAACGTTGTTCCCAAGGTGCACAAACTTTGAGTCCTAACTCCTTATGTACTCCACGGAATGAGCCTAGAATTATTAAGTGTGCTCAACTTCATAGCTATGTGGTTCGTGCATTTCATGATGCAGCCACCACCGTCACACGTGTAGGGTTTTCCTGGCAGGCAAAAATTACCGTCATCGGAGCATCCAATCCGGTGCAAACGATGGGGGTGACCCGAGTAATGATAGAGCAGAGTGAGGTGGAAAAGGCCTGGTCATGGGTCCCTACAAGCATATAGGTAGGGCGCCCGGGGCCGTGACACCTCTTGCCAGTATGAAGCGGCGGGCGAGGCAGCGCAGGGGGGAACAGCTGAGCTCTCCCACTGCAGGCAGACATCCCGCAAGACGATAGTAAGGCCCAGAAAAATATTGATGGTGATCATGAGCTGCCTATGTGTGGATGCGTTGCTGCTGGGGCGCTTGCTGGCTGAGCATCTATATGCCCGATAGGTGGGGATACGACACGTGCGTTCCCATATACCGCAGATAACAAAATCATAGATTGGCAACCTCAGGAAAACCCGACGTCTTTGCAAGTTGGATTGTAGTTCACTGGGAGAGGGTCAACATGAGCCACCAGAGAAGAGACCATAGATATATAGCCCGGATAAGTCTGGCATGTCGAGTTGAACAACATAAGTCTAGAAAGCACACAAGTAGTTATAGATGCGAGCCATCAGCCCCGAAGCAGTCCAAAATAGGATTCTAGCTGGAACCCTCTGTAGTCCAGACAGAATACATTCGCGCTGAGTGTGTCCTGACACAAAGCTGACAACGTCACAGATACGTTGCTGAAACTTGGGCCCCAAGCCTGGGAAGCGTCAACCAGAACTACTGCTTCTAAGTCCCCCGAAATTTCTGGCGAAGTCCAAAGCAATACAGGTGTCAGTCAGGGAGACGTGGTTCCTGCACTGCGTGAACTATAAAAAAGTTCCGTCGGAAGACCAGAAATAGTGCAGGAAATTCGGGCTCAAAATGCAGTGAATGTACAAGCCAGGAGCCCAGCAATCTTTGGTTTCACCCAATTTCTTCCCGAGCGTTATCGAACACAAAAACCCTGAGGGAAGTGGAAGTCCCATCTACTATCCCCGTGAGCGGCTGTATCGAGGATTTCCACATGGCTGCATTGGATGGGATTGTCATTGGTCGTCAAGAATGATGATGGCAGTCAATTAGACGCTCTCACAAAGCAAGGTGTGAGAAAGAAACCCTGTATTTGTAATTCGCGCACATACAACTCCCAGCTGCGGGTCTAGTGTGCGAAGGTGCCAACGCTATTCGGCATCGGCAGTTTGCTCAGGTTCATGTCTCCGTCGGGTCCGGGTCCTTGGGTTTGGGCTGCCAAATATGTCATGTAAGAGACTAGTAGTAATGGTTGCAGGGCGGCGCACCGTACCCAGGCTTTGCAATATGGTAGGAACAGGCGTGGGATACTATTCATGTCCCATTGACCCATAACAATAGCATCCTGAGAACTGGGGGGGAAAGCATTGGGAATCATTTGACAGCCCAACTCCGCTCAGAAGCCCTCCTGGTGGAGATAAGGGCGATCCAATACAAGGCTGTATTGCACCTCAAGGAAATGTCATCCTGTGGAAATCGGCATTCCATCCACCGTTTGAGGAATGGAAAGAAGCAAAGAAGCAAGAAGCCGTTGCAGTTAACTTGTCCTTCCGGAAGCGAATGTTTGGTTTCGAACTAGAAAGTGAAACTGCGCTGCGAACGAGAATTACAGGGCAGAAACGAGCGATCTACAAAGAGTTGAATGATGAGCTGCAACATAAATTTGGGGAGATAGATGAATGAACCCCGGTTCGGCGTCCTTGCACACACAAAACCCTGACGGGAAAGGGACCCCATGTGTTTTCGTCGGACCTGGAATCGTTCATGTTGGCATTGTACCCCTCAGTTGAAAGCACAAATGCGCCAAGATTACTAATGAATGGGTTGGTGAAAAAAGCAGAGCCAGGAGTTTGACCGCAGGCATATTGGGACAGTTAAAGTGAGTTGGCCGTGTTGCGTTGCACCGTACCACCCCAAAGCAAGGTTGCCCTAAAGCTGGCGCCTGGCCGGTGAGAGAAATCATGACCCAATGGATGTAAGTGTCCTGGGACTAGCGCTCGGATTATTCGGCCAAACAGTGTCGTACAAATGTGATGGTACCCTAATCGCGAGCGAAGGACCACGCTACATAGAATCTGGAGCACTGGCAGCTCATATTTGTGGAATAACAGCGCAAGCTCAGTCCCACAATAAGGCACACCGTGTAGATGGACCCAATATCAACCAGAAGCCCTCCGCGTCCGATGAATAGTATGTTCATGTTCCCATACTCACACCGAAGCCACAGTAGGGTAATGACTCTCAGTTGCGGTATGTGGATTTGATGGCCACGATGACATACTACGTATGCAAGTAAGGCAACGTACGGGTTAACTTACAGGAATCGATGTTCGATGTTGGATGAGCCACATCGCTTAGTCCTACTGGCCTGAGGTCAGATGTGTTGCGCAAGTAATCACCTACAACAGCCGAAGCAATTCAAGCCTACTTTGGCACGGTGTCTGCTGGCGAAAAGCAAAAATGCAGAGTGGCTGAGCGGCACGGCTTGGATTCGGCAGGACCTTGAGATAAGGCACAGAGCTGAGCAGCGACGCATCCGGCCTGATGAACTAAGGCCAGTATGACCGCTTTCGGCGACCATTTGCTGCCTAGCTCTATTCAATGGCCGATCCCATTTCAAATTACCGTTCTTGAAAACTGACCCAAGGAATGATCAGCCTTGCCAGCACTAGAACTCCTCTGGTTTCTCCCGAAATGTAATCTTTTAGACTGCGTGGGAGTGGCGTCATTCCTTCTAATAGCTTGAAACCCGCATTACTTACTAGCTCTCGCCTGAAACTGTTCTCATCGACTCAACGACCGAAGGTGCCATCTATATATCCCACTTAACAAGAATGCAATTAAACAACGGTCGTGTAGAAGGATAATTGTAAGATCCGAATACTTTATCAATGTCCTACTAGTATCCCGATAGATCCTTATGGTGACATCCTACACCTGGGCAAGAGGATACGGGCGCAGCCAAAGTGAAGGTAAGACTCGCATGCGCTACTTTGGATATCTATTCCTGTTGAAATTCTAGTAAATCGATCTATTGGTGTGCGTACAGCCTGCTCGTGAACCCAGACCTGGACGAAAAATTGGCCGCCCAAGGGTCAAAAGACTCACTTGACCTATGGGGAAGAAAGGGACGACGTACGACCAAGCCACTTTTATTATGAGGGTTCCAACTACCTGGCAGAGCCTTCATCGCCTTTGGCGCATGGGCAGTGAAGCTTATAGGTACAGGGAACGGGTGCCATCAATATCCTGCAGATAAAAGAACACTACGCATACTTTCTTTGTGGATCGAGTTACATGCCATTCACTTCGATCGATTGTCCAGTTTGGAACTTAACGTGTCCCATATTTGTTTTCACCGCAAAAGCCTCTCCCAGGTGGACCTTACGTAACCCTCTTTATGAAAAAATTTTTTCGTGGTAAACATGGTGCGTTTTTCACCTTTCTGGCTTGCATTTCCGCGTGTGACCACTTGGATTCCCACGGACAAAAAATGATGCTTCGCGAGCTCAGGATTCTGTGAGGATATGGGACTTTTGCGTTATTCACGCGCGTAGAACCAAAATTCGCCAAGCAAGGATCTCTCACTTTTCCTCGGAAATAGCCAGGAACTGTCGTCGCCGAGAATTTGGGGCGGGTCATTTAATTTATGTATAGTTGCTCGTGTAATTCAATGGCCTTTGTACCTTTCAACAATCATTGTACAAACACGAATTATTTTAATGAGTCTTTTATTGCTTGTCCTCTCGTTTTTCAACTAGATACTCCTCACGCCATCGTTTCCTATCTCATCCGAAACCCCCGCCGCACTGTCAACGACGTTGTCATTAACAGCGTTCCCGCTCATTATGTTACTCCTCACTGCCTTCTCAATACTTCTTTTAACGTTTAATGCATTGGCATTCCTCACAAATGGTCCTTTGCACACGCGAACAAAAGTGCGCCATCCTTTCTCCAATTGGTTTTGTCATTTCCGGCCCAAACACCATCGTTGCCCGAAGAGATCGTTCGACGTGACAAAGGGCGTTTACACACCTCTCGGCTTTGCTAATGGAACCGTTTCCAATGGGGTGGCGCGTTTTGCGGTCCGTTATGCTTCGGCTGCCCGTTGGCAGGCTGCGACTCTAGCGAATGCTTGGAGGATGCCGTAAGTGTTCAAGCATCTGCGTTTGCGGCGAGACTTATACACAAGAACAGTGACGGTGACCCCGCCTCACCGCCTCCGTCGTGCCCTCAGTCTTCCGTTGACTCAAGCCAATACTCTGAGGATTGCCTCTTCCTCATTCTCTACGTTCCTGTTGCTGCCGCTGCATCGGGCAATGGGCTGAACACATTCGCTTGGTGGGTATCACGATCATCAGTGTTGGTGGTGGATCTTTTGTTGACCAATAGCATCACACAGGATCCATGGCGGCTCCTTTTATTATGGAGCCGCGACTAACCCCGGTCTGGACGGTTCTACCTTTGCATTATCCACAGGATCCATTGTTGTAACCCTTCAGTATCGTCTTGGAGTGCTCGGTTTCATCCCTCCACATTCACAAAACGGTGGTATAAACCTTGGTGTCAAAGACGTCACAACTGCCTTAAGCTTCTTGAGATCGGTGCTTCCCAGCTTCCATGGCAATCCTGACGGTATCACTGTCGCTGGGCAAAGTAGTGGAGGAATGATGGTTCGAGGCAAGTCGTCGTTTATCGTCGTTGGTTTGATCCATATAACATTTAACCCCCCCCATAGCGCTGATGGCTGCACCCACTGCGGCCAAATTGTTCAAGAATGGCATCATTCAGAGCGATCCTATGGACTTCAACTTCCTGCCTATATCTGCTTACAACATCCTCCAATCATGGTTCTACTCCAAGCTTCCCTGCTCTCCCGCAACATGTCCAACTTCACAGCTCCTTTCTACCCAGAGCTACTTGCTCGGTAATGCGTCAACTATTTCCCCGGCTGCGGGGTCTGCTGAGCCCATACGCCCAAGCGTTGATGGACAGTTCATCACGACATCGCTGAGCCGGAACTCATATCCCTCCCTTCTCAAGCCTCTTCTCGTCACCACTGTTATGGATGAGGCGGGCTTCCTTATTGGTGAAACTCTACCGCTCGGATTCCCTGAGCAGAACTATGTGCCTATTGTACAAGCAACGTTTGGAAATCGAACGGCGACAATTCTGGCTTCGCCTTGGTATAATGTTTCTTCGATGAAGGTCGTGCCTGGTCAGCCGGACGATCGGACGAGAGAAACTCTTTCGGTATTAGGATCGGATGCTACGTGGAGATGTCCCAGCTGGTCATTTGCGAGATCCTATGCCGCAAGGGGTGGAAATGTCTATGTCGGTTTGTTCAGGCGTGGAGCAACTTATGCCGGAAATGATGCTTCGGATTTCTGCACGGTGGGTGGGAGAGTGTGCCATCAGGACGATATTTATATCACGGTCAGTTTGCTTCGATCCACTCACCGCGTGACATACAGTTTTTTCTTATTCACTCATTCCTTTAGTTTGGCACCACACCTTCGCCTACACCTGACCAGCAGACCCTCACAGCTGAGATCCAAGCTCGCTGGGGGGCCTTCGTGAAGACATCAAATCCCAACCCTTCTAACGCCAATCTAGGCGAATGGTGCGCGACAACTTCTACTGCAGTCAAGGCGATACAATTTGGCCTTGGCGGTGGCATAGCCGCAGAGGATGCCTGCAGGCGTTCCTTCTGGGGGAATGCTGTGCTCTTTGACTGGCAAATTTATGGCGTCTAGACTCTTGCAGGCATTGCGAATACCCCCCATCTCGTGTTAAACCAACAGTTTTATCTAAGTGCCATTCGCCAGGCAATTTCGAATTTCGTTTTCCACTTCAGCTTTACCAGATACCTTGCATTATTCGTCGAATCTGATGTCATCCACCCTGCGCTATCACCCCTTTCATGTCCATACACCACCTCTTGCCACCCCTGCGCCTTGATCGTACTGTGCCACCGTCTCCCCTCGCAACGAGCACGTCAAGCACACAATATTTCAACCCCTTTGTCCACGTCGCCTCCTTGCCTGTCGCCGTACCGCCTTTGTGGCCGACTACTGGCACAATCACAACGAGATCCTTTTTCCCTTCCTTTTAACAATCTGTTCTGTTCATTGCCTCGGTGCTGCATTGCAACATTCGTTTGTGTATGTTTATTGTCAGGCCTTGCATTATGACTTCCCCTGTATACACAACCTTTCTTCATTTTATGGCTGCGTTGCTTGTTTTGTTTAGGGATGTGGCCTTGGTCCGATGCCATTGCATTGTTTCTACATTTCATATCTACTGCGTGCTCATCACACGAACAACGCGTGATAGCTTTATTGGTTTGTGAATGACTGTGTATGTATTGCAGAACTACATGGGGGTGTTGTACAAAGCCGCTCCGAAGATGAGATTCGATTCCGAATGCCTGAGAGCTTGGGCGCCTGAAGCAGAAGCATTGCAGTCATGCTACCGGCACGATTTAACGGAACTGTCCAACGAGGGGATGGCTTTTACATGCCGTAGCTGTAATGTAGCGGGGGTTGGCCGGATCTATTGTGTCCCTAAATTGACACGTATTACACGACATCCTTGGAGTAATATTTGGGCGCCGATGCTGCTGGTCAGTCAATTTCACAGTACCACGCGGCGCCTATCAAGCAACGGGGCTGGGGCATGTCAGCCTCTACTAGATAGTGCAGCGTCATCTCGCTAAGACTTCGGCCTGCAGACGTTCTCGCAAGAAGCATTGATCCTTGGCCTCGCACCACTTGGGGTTTGGAAGCTTTTGAAGCAAATCAATCAGCTTTAGTGAATATTGGATTATCCATGCTGCCCCGTCGCGCCCCGGAGAAGACAATATCCAAGCCTCCAATAAGAGACAACCCCTCCCACTTTTTGCGGAGACCAGAGGATATCTGAGGGCCAAAAACGGATTGAAAAATGACAGGAGGCTGCCCATTCCGGGATGAGTTTGCACGTCAGTTTATAAATGACCACAGTGGGCGTGGATGGTCCTGAGGCGAAGAGATGAGAGTGAACCTGTTACCAGGCGTGTTGCCTGAATACGACGTCCACGATATGAGAGCCACTAAGAACGGGATTTCGGGTGCTTGGTGCCATCATTGCTACCAATGATGGCGATCGCTAATGGCGCCTTCCACAGTTGATGATGATGATGATTAATCTCTCTTAATACCCCGCGGCCTCGTGATGACGTGGCAGTGCGGCTATCCCATCGATGACACCGAAGCGTACATGAGGGATTTTCAATACATTCAAGTGGGGGCAGGTTGGTAGCGTCGGGTGTTAGAAGATCCTCGGGTTGGTGAAGTCAGGGGTGGGTGTCATGTAAATAACGTGAAGTAAATGGAAGAAGGGGCAGATCCCAGTTACGGGTTGTCTCTCATTGAGACCTCAATGGTGGGGCATGTAGCCTTACCCGTGCAGGTTTTCGATGTTTTGGGTGTAATTTGTGCCTTCTTGCAATACACACGGCAGCTGCGGCTTGATGACGGGTGTTCCTCACCGCAGTTGATGCAATTTGGTGGTCGGTCTTGAGGGTGGACAGTTGTTGCATGTTCCTCATCGCCGCATATGTGACACCGGTGTTCCGTCTTGCACTGGTGAGACATGTGGTGGAGTGATGCGCATTTTTCGCAATGGACCGGGCGTGGGCGATCCTTGTAGTCAGATACTGTGGCCAGGGCACCATACACATAGAAAGCCTTTGCATTCTGGAAACGCTCGGCCTTTTCAGGGCTGTCAAAAGTGAAGACCAGGGATGCCTTGTGTTTCACTTGTAGGGTCTCATCGTTTGCCAACCAAGCTGGTGGAGAAGTGGGGGTAAAATTATCCCAGAGTGGACCATATCCTTCCCGTAGCTGAGTAAGGATTTGTTCAGGGGCGTAAGGGGTTTGTCCTGGTAGTTCCCTGGTTGGAACACCATCAAGCTTTTTCCGGTATAGTGCTTTGTCTTGCCACGCTGTTGTGCGGTAAGGCTGACTGTCGTCAATGATGCAGATTATATCGTCCTTTAGGGGTGCTAGGTCGTTTGCATGTGTTCCGACCGCTCCGACGACGACAAGGTTGCCTCGGGCAGAGGAGTACACAGCCAGAACTTGCTTATTCATCGTGGGGTGTTTTCCCTTCAGTTGCGCATTAATACATCTGACTGATTCAGGTTGTATATTGCGTTTATGGATGGGGAGAGGGGGGTCGGTGGCGATGATCAGGCGACTAGAGTGGTTCTTTTGAGTTGGGAGTTGTGGCTGGGGCAGTTTTTTTCTCGTTGGTTTGATCGGGGTGGGGTTTTCTGATTGTGTGAAGCTGTTGCTGTTGCTGTTTTGAGTTGGGGGTGTGGTAGTTTGTGGGGAGTTTGTCTTCTCATGCGCGTCGGTGTTACGCGTCGTGCTGGGCTCTGCGTGTTTGTCGTTCATTTTCGCCAGTTCTGCTGTTAGGGCGGCATTGGACTGGGCCAGGGTATTGCATGTTTCGGTGGCTAGTTCAAGAGCTTTGGATAGGGAGGCAGTATCTGGGGCCGGTGGTTGGCCAAACAGCGTGCAAATCTCCTCCATTCTTTTCTTAGTCACCTCACTTATGGTTGGTGGGGAGAAGGAGTGTCGTATATCATTGACAGTTTCCCAAGCAGAGTCGATGCATGAGATGAAGTGGTCGGCGAGGTTCTTGGGGGTGTCGTTTGGTGTTGGTGATTTTGGTTTTGAGGGTGCCGCACGGCTCGGTGGTGGTGAGAAGTCGGATGCCCTCTTCTTGGAGTTTTTGCTAGTAGATGCGTCTGTCCTTCCTATCGGATTGCAGGAGCGGCAGTTGATAACTCTGTGGGGTTTACATGTGAGGGACTCCAGATAGGCGTCCAGCTCGTCATCGGACATGGCCGCGCCAGTGTCTGCAGCAAGATGCAAAGAAAAAACGGATGGAAGAACGGGGAGGGGAAGGCCTTCCACAGTTTCTGATTTCCTGCCTATTCGAGTTGACAACTGTTTGTGTCGAAGCCGGATCCAGTTGATTCACACCATAAGTAACGTGCCCGACACCGCGTCAGGAGGAGGAACCAGACACCAAAAAAAGTTGATGCAAAATTCCACACCAAAAGGACGAGCAGGTGAAAGAAATAATCACTCTCTCCTCGTTGATGGGAATAATAAATCAATCTTTCGTTATTATCAAGGTGTTCCTGCGACGGCTCAACACTATGCCACTCCTTCTGTCACTTCTTCTCCTTCCAATGCTGGCCCTTCCACGCCTAAGAATGCCCCACGACGCAGCACACGCGTCATACAACAGCCAGAACGCGGTACACCTAAACCTATCACTCATGCTCAAATAACCGCTACTCAACGAGGCCCTCATCCACATGGTACTGGCACGGGCATGCCAGGTTCAGCATCTTCAGGCCCTAACGCTTCATTAAACCCCGTCCCCACACATCCCCAAGCATTTCAAAGCACTTATATCTCACGATTAAGAACGGGTTCAACGTTGTTATTACAACCCAGCAATATAACACCTTCATCTTCTTCGGTGAATGCTTCTTCGTTGTTGACGACAAGTGGGAGGAGAAGAGGTGTGATTAACTATGCGGAAGGCGATGATGATGATGATAATTTTGGGATGGAGAGTGATGATGATGAGGAGTTTACGGCTATTGGGGAGAGAGGTGGGAAGAGGAGAGGTGGGAGTGGGACGGGTGGGAGGAGTGGCAGTGTGCCTGGGAGCGCAGGTGGTGCTGGGGGAGGTGGGGGAAGTGGCAGTCGAGTCGGTTCTCCGGGTGCCAGTGTCAATGGCCCTGTGAGGGCTGAGCTGGACAAGAGTTATTTGGGGATGATACCTCCTAGTAGGTTTGTCTCGAGTAAGTGGGTCAGCAAGACGAGGCATGAATATCCGTAAGTTGTATCTTCTTTCAGTGCTCGCTGCGCCATGGCTGATGTCTTGGTTTAGCCCACTTGATCAAGTCGAGAAAGCCGCCCAGGCGCGTGAGATCCTGATCCCAATTCGTATCGACCTTGACACGGAGACCCATCGGATTCGTGACAGCTTCATGTGGAATCTCAACGGTTCGTGGGTCTGGATATTCTCATCTGGACACTAAAGTTCATCATTTTATTTTATTTCGCTTTTCACTCCTATCGTTGTTCTTTTTACAGAGGGAATCCTAACCCCCGAGATGTTTGCTCGTATTTTCTGCCAAGACCTCGAACTACCAACGATTCCGTTTGTGGATCAAGTGGCAGGTGCTATACGAGCTCAGCTGGAAGAACATGCCGGCGTTGCGAGTTTCGATATTGAGATATCTGACTCGGAGTCTGAATCTGAGTCAAGTGTAGAAGGGGGAGTGGTGCAGGACAAGGATGATCAGGAGGTGCAGGAAGGATCGAAGAAAGAGGATGAAGGGTCCGCCAGGAACACGTTTGGGGGGGTGAAATGGGGGTGGATAGGTTTACGATGATGGTCGGTACGGAGACGAATGCGAATGCGAATACCCCCAAGGTAGTTCTATCTGAACAACCTTCGAGGAGAGTTTCCAAGTCTCCATCGCGATCGCATTCCCCTCTTCCATCTCTTCCTCCTTCAGTACCCGCACAAGAGCCGGCAACGGTGATGAATGCAGGTGGGTCTAAACTCGTTACGAGAGCTCCTACCTCAAGAGAACAGATGGATTGCAGAGTCATCCTTGCGCTAGACGTTCAGCTCTCGACGTTCCATTTAATGGACCATATAGAGTGGGACCTATCTCCTCTCCCCTCCTCCCCCTCCCCATCATACCCTCTCCCATCCTCCTTTCCTCCACAATCCCCAAACCCACCCCACGTTACACCCGAACTTTTTGCGAAGACTTTAGCCGCGGATTTAGGACTTGGCGGAGAAGCAGTTCCGCTCATTGCCCATGCGATACACGAGGAAATATTAAAGCACAAGAAGGATGCGATCGAGTGGGGGGTGTTGGTTCCTGGCTCAGGTGGGTGGAACGAGGGGCGAGGCGGGGGTGGCGGGGGAGGCGCGGGGGACGGGGGGAAGAGTGGTGCGGGGGATGGAAGGGGTGGGGAGGGGAGGAGTGTGGGTGGTGGTGGAAGTGGGGGAGGGAGAGGACAGAGAGGACCGAAGCCCTTGAGGGGGATATGGAGGGAGTGGAGTGAGGTGGGTGAGTTTGGGCCTAGGTTGGAGGTAATTAGTCAGGAGGAAATGGAGAGGAGGGAGGTCGAGAGGGAGAGGATTGCTAGGTGGGTTTCAAAGAACGTCTCCTTTCTTTTGCTGTCCTATTGTTTGTAAGGCGTTATATGCTGATTTTTTCTGTTAGACGCTTACGAAGGGAGACGGCGAGGTTTGTTAAGAGCGCGAGTGGACGGCGGAGGCGATAAAGGTGCGTTGGCAGTACTAGGGTGGGCTGCTGGTGTGTGTGGTAGTATATTCCGACGTGTGTGCTGTAGACTGGAGCCGTTTATTGAATCTGTCTTCAAGCCTGCGGCGTTCGTATCACAAATGGTTCTACGCTAGACGTTTAAACCCTCATTGTTCCTTTGACCGACGGTTTCTTTTCCGAAGTACATTACGCAGCCCCAGATCTTCACTTGGTTAACTTCAAGAGCTCGATGAAGGCATTGAACCTCAGTTGGTTCGCCCCAGCTTTATGACAGCGTCGTGGCGGGAGAAACCTTGGCCCTCGGACCCCTCGATCACCCATTCATGCAGCCGAGTCAGCGATCCAATCTCTGACTCGGTGTTTCTACCACCTAAGTTGCCTGGGGTATGTCAACCCCCACCTAACCCAATGATATATCTGATAGGGCTTTGCTCGGGTCAAATAACGTACGGCTCATCTTGATACGTCCAAAGCCCGTACCGCTGGTTCAATGCGGATTGTACGCCTAATGCTGTAGTTATTCTGATCCAGTCAGCAGATCCTTGACTGGCCAGTCATTAGATTCGAAGAACCTTAGGTTCAAACTAAAGCGTTATCTGATGTGGGGGCCGGGGGAAGAGTGGGAGCGAGTCCATCTCGTGTCGGTGGTGCTACGGTCTGAATTCATCTATGCTGGGTTGCACTGGACCAGGCAGTATTTTGTGAACGTGGGGGAGAGAATGGTGCGAATTTTCCTAGACAATCATGCGTAAGGCCTATTGTCAACACCAAGTCAAGCATCCATACCTGGAAGCCGACGACTCTGCTCCCTGCACATACCATAATCCCATGAAAATTCCTACGAACAGTGACCAGGAATAATACCATTTCATACCCTAGCAGACCACTTCTGGGATGATCCCGTGGTCCAGAGGCTGCTCCAGTGCCCAATGTGGTTAGCTGGCTTTGGCTCTAAGAGACTTTCCCGGCGCATGAGTGGACGACGCGGATATCGCCTACACGTGGCAGTTGCTTGCGTTCATTTTTCTGCGCTGCCTCTTATGCCTCGGAAATATCTGTTTGTCCATGTTCCCCTTCTTTCTCGACGTACACACCGTATCATTAGGGGGTGTCTAGCACGCGGCGTCCGGATGGGCGCTGAGCGCCTCTGGCCCCCCTACGCGGCATTGCTTCCGTCACTCACAGGGAGGCAATCTACAGCATCGCCGTCCCCAGTGGGCTACCCGATTAACCCCTTCATCCGGGACTTCGGTCTTCAAATTTAGGTCATTGCGACTCGAGGGATGGAGCGGTCTCGTGGAACCGGCAACTGCAGGAAGAGACGGTAAAGGGTGAATAGATGAGCTGGCACGATGGGAGATACACTAGTGCGGTCATGTACTGATTGTGTATAGTATAACCCATTGTACGCTACGCCATATGCCAAAAGGCATAGATACGAAGTTAAAATTGATACACACACACACACACATGCATACACTAGCCAGCAGGCCGGTTGAAGAGCATAGGGATGGAGTAAAGGGCAAAAACGAATTGTCCAAAAGTAGCAATCACCCCCGGCTGCCCGAGGATCCTACCCACCTGAATACACCACCCAGACACATGTTGACGTGGCCGGGCCACACAAAGCTTATGTTGTTCGCCTTTGTAGTTTCCCCTTTTGTCTTACAGTGCCGTCTGTGGCCGCGCGAAGCCGCTCGTTAATGTATATGGGCACGGGGGGGCCTGAAGCACGATATCTACCGAACAGTGATATCGCGCTCAGATCTTGGTCGTGCAACAACACACTCAGCATGTATGGATCCCCTTGTCCGCACTGCCACATCGGGGTAACAAATAGAGTACAACAACAACCCCGGTGTCGCCAAGTTATTGCACTCCCCCCTTGATTTAATGGAAGTACGGGATTCAAACAAAGCTTGTGCACTGCGGAGCCCGAGTTCGCATATTTAGCCTGTCTTTTTCCCACTCCCATTCATTCACGTCTGGCTTCCGCCACATGCATCCGCCCTTACACTGCGTTCGCTGTACCCACCAATCCGCACGCCAACAGGCCGCGTTCATGTACACGTAAATCGCTATGCCCAAATGACGCATACTCGTCGTCTGCGTATGGCAGTTTGCTAGGTCTACTAGTAGCGTTCCGCTTGAACCGCTCGGAGACTATCTACACGGCGCCACTACATCGGTGAGAGACTTCACTGCCTGCATACGTTGCATGAGACCGGGGGCACTCTTTTGACTCATATATACAATGCACCTCAAGTGGTATAATCAAGCCCCACCACGAATCTGAGAACGCGCGTACTGCGACTTCCGACAATGGCAGCACAAAGCAGGGATTGTGTGACGAGCCGCCTGAGGAACAAAGCCCTGCATGGCTACATCTGACATGATTTAATCACGATATTGCATTCTCAGTCGACCAACGAAAAAAGAGTTACACAGTACAGATAGGGAACTTCGGACTACGTGAAAACGCAAAAAAAAAGAACCATTCCTCAGTCAGAAGCGCAGTCCAAAGTGAGAGTCCATGAACGGATAGGTCGGCACCAATTCCAACTCAACTCGACTAGATCGCTTCGTACGTCGATCCATCGACTCGGAATGCCACGTACATTCTTAGTGGCGGCAACCTTCAACGGATGAGCCATTGTGAGAAATAAGAATGCTTCAAGGGGTACACGTAGCCACGTACATGCTTTCCCGCCTTTGCAGCACTTGTATCCAGGGCCGCAATAATGTTTATCGCCGCATGGGTTGCAACCTTTCGGAATGCATCTGTGGGTAATTGAGTAAGAGAGACCTAGCTTCAATGGTACGGTCGAACGAACCCGTATCCGTGGCACTGTGGTAGCAACGTTAGCAGAGTGATACCAAAATATGTCGGAATACGTGAACGTACTAAATATCCAGGCGGGCAGCAGGTCCCCTTCTCTTTGTTGCAGCATTCTTGTCCTTTGTAGCAGAAGTGGTATGGACCACACGGGTACGTGTTAACGGGGATGCAACTACGAAACGCGAATAAGGGTCAAGCTAAGAGGGAGCGCTAACTTCTACAGACTATTTGCCCTTGTAGCACTACCCTAAAGTCAGGGATCATCAGAGTTTTCCCGTATGAAATGGGACTTACACGATAGCCAGGTTTGCAGTAACCATGTCCGCAATGATCGCATCCGTTGGGGAAACAACTAACATAACACCAATGAATATCCAGCCTACGTCTTCATGACCTGTAATACTCACTAGCCCTTCCAGCACTAGCATGCAAAGTCTGTTAGTTGGATGTTTTGCATAGCAGAACGAACCATGAACCCACGTAAGTATCCTTCGGGCAACACTTATGATCCGAGCATTTGTCTGAATGGAGCAAAAAAAAAATAAGCGACTGGTTTGGGAAGCAGTTGTCCGAGCAAGCAACTGACGATAGTCATGTGGACATCTATGTCCGTGTCCATAATCCCTTGCAAGGTCTCGGGTTTCCCCCGTACCGGTGATAGGTGGTTCGGGAGAAAGAATAGTAGGGTCGGCGAGCGGGTTATAGGGTCCAGTGGCTGGAGTCGTGTCGTTTCGGCGTTCAACCTCAACGGGCAAGGGTGCGACTGGGTTAGCGAAGCCTTGTGCAACGAACAAGGCAACGATGAAGGCGGGGAAGATCAACCTAAACATCTTCAACATCATTTTTACTACGCTGGTACGCTGCTGGCACAAGGTAGATGAAAGGAGGGGAGTTTTGCTGCCCCTCCCAACGCACCCACAGGCTCACTTAAGTACGTTGTGCAGCGTGTATGATGAAATTCTCATTGCAAATATAAAGCTGGGGTGAGGGAGTTTTGCTGGTCACCGACCACCATACAGACTGGTGGGACCAATGGCAAGAAACAGGTGAAATGAGGCACCTGTGCGGTAGGCTACATTTGGAGGCCGTTGTTGGTCGAGGACGTAATCGCTTATTCATGTAGGACAGACTGATATCGGTTTCGAGGCGATCAGCACATACTAGAGCAGAATAAGCAGAAGTCCAGAGAGCTATGAAAATCATTACAAAGACCCCACAAGTCCAAGTCCACTAGTCAGGTAAGGCTATGCATCCGTTTTCGTCCCGTCAGTTTGGCTGGGTTTGCTGTCAAACCCTCATTTGGCAATATCGCCTGCCCGGGCCCAGGTCGACATTAGTACGCCTGACAGGCGAAACGAAGAACACCATGGCTGGGTATACAAGCGGGAGGAAAAAGAAGAGATTCATCTCAAATATAGACAACCAACCTGGGGTTGGGCGTCAGTTGATCAAATCAAATGCGTCATGCAAGTTATCACGTTGCACAGCCTCGGCTTCGTGACCTTGCAGATCTGGAACACTCTGAATGGGTCCCATGATACACTCTTGGAGGCTTGGCATTCTCGCGCGTGTTCCTTGAGGCACATTGAATTAAGCCTTGCAGCACCGCCTAATATCGTGACATACGCTTACCACACCCCTGCTTTTGTTTGAAGAGTGCGGATTTCATAGAACAGTGGTCAGTGGGGAAATTGTTAACGTGGGGCGTTTTGAAATATAAGGCTATGTCGTGGGGCATCAGTAGGTTGCCCATTTTTTGAAATGATTCGCCCATGCACCATGAGCCCAGTGTACATGGAGTTGGCCGGATTTATTGTGTCTTATAGTAAAAGATGCACAGAGAGAAGAAGGACTGTGCGTAGATTGCTGTAGGGGTTGGGAGGGCGTGCGGGAGGAACGGTTAAGGTGGCGGAAGAGCTGACTACGCGAGGAGGCAGACGTAATCGAAATAGTGTCATGGTTTACGTCTTACATAAAGATTTGTAGGATCCGAGAGTGTGTCACTATGAGAGACAAGATGCTTTGAGCGGTTCCTGTAACCCAGCTATTTGGGATTCAGCATCTTGCCCAAGAGTCGCAATAATGGTTAGGACTACAAGGGCTTGGAATACATCTACGGATCATTGAGAGCCCCAACGTCCATAACATCTATAGCGGGCGGGAGACCCATAATCGGCGAGGCGACTTGGAAGTACGCCGTGGATGTGCGTAGTGACCAAGCCGGTTGCATGCTCTAGTACTGCTTTGTCCAATTTTTCAGTAATGGGACGGTCCTCACGAGAACTCACGCTAGTCGCGCGCTACTGAACGCTCTCGTAACATTACTGAAAGCTGCCCGCATGGAGTGTTGCTCACATAAGAGTCAGATGGGGGATGTCTTGATGGGGAATACAGCCGAGATATCACCGATGAATATCCAGTCTTCTCACCAGGACGCACGGTGGTGCTAAAAAACGATTAATTGGATGGTCTATGTAATGAAGTGAAACTGTAGGTGCGAAGTGGATGGCAAATACCATTTGGGAACGAGTTGGAAGAAGCTAAGCCACTTAGCTCAGGAACAATGACCTCAAGTTATTCATCAATGTCTCCTAGACACGCCGCCGCCTCGAGGGCTTCAAAGTTAAGGGTAGGTTTTCTTGGGGAGGGGGAGGCAGATGGAAAAGTACAGAAGGATCGATGAGGGGGCGCAAAAGCTGAACTTGGACTCGAGCGTCTAGGGATGCGCGAAGGCGCCATGAACGACTGGGTTGACAAAGTTCTCTAATGGTGGATGCGGAAACAACCAGCGCAACATCTCCAACGCCGATTCCAAGTAGTTACGCTACCCGCACGAGGTAGGCGGTGAGGGACGAGCACCCTCCCCCCCAGGCCCTCTCAACACACCCACAGGCTCGCTTCGCCGGATCTGGTATCTGGTGCCAGATCGCATTCCGTTAGGTGGAAATCAGGGGCGGGGGGTTCCTGAAGAAGGGCTTGGCTGCGGGGAGAAGCGGATGACAATAACATAAAGACACCTAGCGATCGGTGCTGCCACAACGTGCTACGTCGTACAGGCGCAGCAGGCGATTGTTCCTTGGGAAACGGTTTATCCACACAAGACTGGCGTCACACTCGAAGACCATGTGCATCGAGCAAAAAAATGATGTATATTCGTCAACCGTCCGGTAATAAATTGCACACGGCTCCAGGCATAAAGGGGAGGGGTGAATTTGTCGCTTGCACCCCAGGGAAAAGACCGAATGGCAAGTGAGACAAAAGCGGTGCCTCTTATCAGGTGGGGAAGAACGAAAGAGATCAAATAATGCTGCTTCGAGGTCGGCTGTGTCAGTCTAGACACGTTCATCGGTTGGTCGTACGTATTAGCCAAGCCTCTAATTAGACAATTGGACATGGCTCTGGCTTCCTTTTCCCATCAATTGAAACCATCAATATAGGCTTCAGAGGTCCCAGCTCTCCGGCGACTGTAGCGTAAGTCAGGAACATGAGTCCTGTAACTACAGTTCCGCTTTCGTATGGGTTGGACTACCATAAGCTACGGCGACATCGAAATGAAAGCCTTGAGGGTGACACCCTAGGCCATGAATTGTAAGGCAGTCGGCAGTTCACCTTGATGTGCTGGTTCGAGCACATACTAGTACGCAGTCACAGAGTCTCCCTAGGTTCAGGCCCTTGACAGCTCTTGGTACGTTCGGTGACTTGCCGATTCTGTGAATGACACGCACTTTTCCGGCAGACTCCGCCATGACGGCGGATTCCCCGATGATGGTTTTCCCTTTTTGGACGAACTCGCGATGATGGGGTCCCACCATCATCCACCCATGCGCGCGGTCGCATCCTCAGGGCAGGTTACCAGCCTCTATTGGAATAGATCTCGTTTCTCTGTCCACTTTGGATGCACACTTCTTTCACAACGTTGACCTGCTGAAAAACGCGTGCATGGTACCGGTGACAACATTAGATCTGTTGGAAGTGCATATGAGCGGACAGCGGACATGCATGGTGTGAATTCAAGTAACTGATGCAAAGATGCGAGTTGAGGAACGATCGATCCCGCAGGGCATCAATGATCAGTGGGGGTGAGAACACTACTACGGCGTCATGATTCACGCGTGGTATTGATTTTTCGCATTGGACCGGGATAGATCGAGTCCAGCGGCGCATAGAATAGCGGAAACAAGGACTTCCCTAACGCACTACACAAGCGCGCACCCAAACACACAATGCCAGTCTTGTCAAACAAAGGGTAAGCAGTTCTTCCATTCCAAAGACCAAGAATGAGATTGCAGTCCTAAGCAGAAGGGAAAATCATGCCGAGAAGAAAGGGCAGCCAAACACTCTCAAAGCGCTAACGGCAACACATTATCCAAATCCATACCATACCATACCATACGGACCTTCGAAACTGCACCCTCCCTAGCCACATCGCCAAAAGAAAGGTTTTATTATTCTCCATTCCAACCCAACGTCGCATTCGCACTATCGTTCTCGTATTCCCCATCCCGACGCTGCAACATCATCCCGCTCCCGCTCCTGCTCCCGTTCCAACTCTGTTTCGCCTTCAAATACGACCTCACGCCCACGAAACAGCCCAATACCCAAACACCAAGGATCACCCCGACCCAAACGCCCCACACATCGTTCACGCTTCCCGGCGTGTCCAGTCCAGTCCACAAAGGGTACATATCCCTATATCCAGTTCGAACTTGGTAAATCGATAGACAAAGAATCGTAAGACCTATGATGACATGGAAGATGTTTTGTGGTGGGTGTGTTGCGAGTGGGTGAGGGGGTTGTGACTGTGGTGTAGATGCAAGTTTCGATGATGAAGAGAGGAAAGGGTTGAGTGATGGGAGTTTTATGTAATGGATGAAGAAACCGAGCGAAAATTGGACGAGATAGAGGACGAACAATGCGATTCCTATTCTCTGTATCATCGTTGTTGTTTGGATAAAAAAGGGAAGCCATCAGTTATAGGCTTGACACTCTCAAATGAACGAACCGAAAGAGATCGCGAATGCGAATGAAAGGGCCAATATGAAAAGAGAAGAAATCACTCACTCCGTGCCTTACGTTGCGATAATCGTATCCGTCATATGCGTCGTGATTGTAGTTGACACCGATGGCAAAACCCGAAATGATAAGAAGGGCTGCGAAGGTTTGAATGACGAGGTGAACTCTGAGCCAGTATGATGGGTTGAGAGAGCGGTATCGGGCAATGAGGATGCCTGGTGATGCGTGGGAGATCGAAGTTCATTAGCCGTCGGTAAGGTGTTGATCGTTTCGTTGTCGTGAAGGTGAACGAATGGCGTACATGTATGCGGGGGAACAAAGCAAGTTAGGACGAGAGGCCTTGGAAACTCCCGTTGCGAAGGCGAGTTGCACTCATTCCACCCACTCACCGATGGGTAAGAAAAAGAGAAAACCAAGGGACGAAAGTGTCCCGTGGGCTATCAATTTCGAACGCGGAGGGAAAAAGACCTCTCTGAATGGGTCATCCTCCCGTTTGGTGATTTCGGCCTGGTGAGAGGAATTGTAGGTTAGGTTGGATGGATACCGGGAATAGGTTGATGGAATGAGAAGTGAACAACGCAACTGCTTGAACGAGGAGAGCCGCCTGAGAGAGGCAGAGGAGAAAGAGAGGGAAGGATAAGTTTCGAGGACGCATAGCACTGAAGGAAGATGGTAGATTGGGGGACGTAGGGCTGCAGTGAGGAAAGTAAAGAAGGATGGACTGCGGTTACTATCAACAAGTCACGTTGTTTATGTAAAACGCCCGATTGTATAAGAGCCGAAAGTGTCCAGACCGGTTTCCGAAGTGAGACTACAACAAAGGCGGAGTTGGCACCGGAAGTGAGTTGCAACTCGGGTTTGGAGTAGGACTCGTGTTCGGCCAGTGTCGATGTTCACCGTCGCCTGCTTTGAAAGTTTCTTGTGCACATTCACTACAGGTATCATCACCAATGGACCAACGGACCAACTTCGACTGTTGCGATCGCGATCACAACAGGATTCCGTGTTTCATTCTCGGCATTTCCCATTATCGCGGGGTTCTCCGTTTCCTTCATTTCTTCCAATCAAGCGCTCTCTTTCGCATATTAGCTCGAGTCCGTACCAAAGTCAAAAACGCCTGCGCTCGCTCCTCAGTGATTCCGCAGTCTCCTCAGGTATTCAATTTTAACTTTATCTGTCAATGATTCGAGAAATGATCCAATATTTGTAAATGGAGAATAGATTTAACCGACTAAATGTGCATAACGATCGAAAGCCGTGTTGCCGACGCCGTCGGGATCACGCATTAATTGATGTCAACCCACTACTATTCTTCCATCAACCCATCAATCTCTGTCTGCAACGCCACCCAAAATGGCTGCTGCGCAAAGCCTGACCTTGCCTGCACACGAGATATGAAGCGTGAGAAAACCGTAGTGCCATGTTTCCCACGAACCGATCCTCGGATTTACTCATTAATGTCTTACCATGGCATTGCGCCCCTGAATCATGACTTAGAGACTCGATGCACATTCAAGCCATGAGGGTTATCAATTTCCTCGTATACATGTGATTTTTCGTGCCCGGAGCAATAGAATTATGCATCATCTAACTCGAGCCAAATACCTTCTGCTGCTTAGCAGGCATTGCGGCAGCAGCCCATTCATGAACGCCACATAGGCAGTAAAGCCATTCAACTCCTTGATAGCTAGTAGTACTGATGACCCCATACTGGTGCCACACCTCTACTTTCCACTCGCATGTTACATGGGATATTTAGATTAGAGCATGTACACCACGCATGTGACAACTGTATATATGAACGCCCCAAGGATGCAGCCTGCGTGCACACGTGTGTTCTATATATGGACTGAGAGGAGACGTGCACGTATCACACCAGTGTGAACCACACTTCTACTAATTCGCCGGAGCTCGGGTGCGCGCCAATGTGATGCACATATGAGCCGCGTGAGTTCAAGGGCAGCGTAGCCAGGTGCGTTGCCCCAGCCAGCTAGACCAAGGGACCGGCTGACCAGGATGTGCGTGCGCGCAATCAATGTTAAAATTCGCGGGCACCAGGAAGAAAATCAACGCCTTTGTGGAGTGAATCGAGGGAGGAGGCCGTGGGAGGTTGCCGATATCTCCGGTATCCCGGGAGTTATCTCGCACGGTCCCGAGTGATGTATCGGAAATGTGAATGACTCGTGTGGAGATGGATAGAGCTGTGATTGTTTGAATTTCGAACTGTTTTTGACACGACACAGGATGAAAATGACTGGACGATTAGGTGCAATGGATCACACGTGGTCTGGGGAATTTGAGTGAAGGCCATGTTGGAATTTGCACGTGGTCTTTTAGGGAAACCTAAAAGTTGGACATACTGGGAATCGAACTCCAGTCTTCTGGATCGCAAACTGCCATTACACCATATGCCCTGTTAGGCTGAGGTGGTTATTTCAACAGGCCATTAGCTGTCACTCACGGGCAGATAGGAAGTATCAGGCACAAATAAGCATCAGCTTGCAGATTCTCTCCTCTGATTCCATGTCAAGTCATAAATTTCCACTAAATCTTGACCCGTTTGACCACTCTTATCCCTGTGGGAATCCATTCAATAATGGGGTATGGATGTCTCCCAAAATGGGCACTTAGTCATGAATGCGTGCATCGCTCGATGCCCTCTACCTGTACTATATCTTACCAAATTTAATTCAGTTGTACCCCTATTAGAATTGATTCTGAGTTTACGGAACGGGCTTCCAATTGCTGATTGTGAAGGCCCCAATTCCCATCAAGGGGGGTCATTTTGGGAAATGCTGTACACAGGGTACAGGGGGGGGTTCATGAGGGAGGGCAAAACTTATTTTCAGATGACATATTAGATTAAGTTATGGATCGTATTGTCACGGCCGTGCATTCCGGCCCGTTAGCCGCCCGTCCCAATGCTGCCTGAGCCCATTCCCGCTATGCGAGCGCGAGCGCGAGCCCCGACCTCAGCCCTATCCTCCATGAGGACTCCCTGCTCACTCCCCCACTTGCCCCTAGGCTCCCCTGCACCTGGCCGACTCCCCCACAGCCACACCAACCTTCCCACCCTGAGTCCGCCTCCGGCACCGTGCCCAGCGTGACTCCCCTACCCCGCCCACTTGGCCCCTACAGGGCCGCTATCATCCCCGTGCCCGACTCCGGCCCAACTCCGAGTCCAGCGCCGCTACGATACCATCGCCGCTATCGCGGCCCTACGCTCTTTCCTTTATTTATCTGTTATTGTTTGTTTTGACCCTCGGTCATTGCCGGCTGCTATGCGGCCAACCCCGCTCCTTATTCTTGTTTGCTTCCGGACCCTTCGGCCTCCGGCCCGGGTCCACTTCCATTCATTTCTTCCTCCTATCGTGGCCATCGCGGCCAATAGCGGCCCGCATCGGTGACTTTCGGTGCCGACTCCGGATCAGTGTTTAACACGTATGTACAGTGAGATTGATTGTTAAGCGAAGGGTGTATGTTATGAGAAGGGAAAAATTAGTGCCTTCGTGCGCGTTTAGTCGCTCTGGCACTGTTGTGGGATCCGCAATTCCATCCTGGGGGAATATATGATCCAAGCCCTTGACAAACTCGATGAAACTAATAAGGAAAATGAGTTTTTGTTATCGGGGTTGAAGGCATTCAAACAGACTCACCCAAACTGTCTTGCATCCTGGCCACGGACAGCATACAACAGTGGACCCATCAGCAATTTCAGCAGCCATAACTTCTGCATCACAGCATCTATGGAGAGCACTCTCCAGCCGCTGTACTGCATGTATGGGGCACCCACTTGGATGTGTGGTGGGCTGGCTTGGTTGGGTCAGTGTGTTTGTTGGCAGCAAAGGGTGGGTCGGCAGTGAAGGGTTGGTCAGCGGCGAAAGGCCAGTCAGCAGTAGAGGGCTGGTTGAAGGTGAAAGGCTGGATGGCAGAAAAAGGTTGGCTGGCGAAGGTTTGGTTGGTGGTGAAGGGTTGGTCAGGGGTGACAGGCTGAGATCGGTAGATGCAGGCCTGGGTGATGAAGAATCGGCTCTGCTGTTAGGCCGTTCTAGGCCCTCTTCATTCGCAAAACCTTGCTGGGAAGTTGTCACGCTTGATTCTTCTAGATCGGTGGTCTGGAGAGAGAGTCGCATTGAAGGAGAGAACGAAGGAAGGTCAGTTGGGAGGTTCAAACGAGACCACCACCAAGCTGTTCCCTGGTTCTTTAGTTAGGATGGGGAAGTGTACTAGTAATATTTGTTGTAATTATAGTACCAATCCAAGTGTTTTGGCTAATTCTAATTTTATGGGTTAGTCTAAAAGTTTCTGGGAATTGACTTACAGATAAACCGAGCCCTGCGGAGCTGTTCCTTTATTGAAATTTCTTAATTTGTCTAGGTGTAATTCTGTGTAGTGTTGTTTAATTTGGAATTTAACTTGAATTAAATCTTCTACTTGGTGAAGTTTCAAAGATTCTACTCAGTTAATGGATTTAGATTGTGTCTGGAGTGTCCCTTGAGTTTGTTTTATTTTTGTCTTATTTTATTGCTTGTTTTAACAGTAGCTGTCATATCCATCCACAGCCATCAACTTCCACTACCTCCAATCTCTCCGGACTACCTCCACTCCTTCTTCACTAACCTCAGAGCTCCTGCATTCCACAATCACCTCCGCTTCCCTTGATGGTCACCACCCCCTCTTTTCAATATATTACCTACACCTCCCTAAGTATGGAGCCCCGAAGGCTTCCGGACAGTGTCATATCCATGCATATCCGATCCCGACCCGACTCCCGGACCTCCTTCCTTCACCACCTCCGGAGTCCTACCCTACCGCTGTCCGTTCTGATATTCACCTTCGGTCCTGACACCACACCTCCTCTCACCCCCCCATGCCACCTCCACTCCTCCGTCCCTCTCCTGCCCTATCTCCGTCCGCTCCGACACTCACCTCAGACCGAACACCACTCCTCTCGCCACCCTCCTACTACTCCCACTCCTCTGCTTCCTTCCCACAACACCTCCACCCTTCCGTCACCCTCCTACTCTCCTCCTGTCCGCTCCGATACTCACCTTCGGACCTGACACCTTTCCTCCTTCCTCCTCCCTCTCTCTCTCCTCTGGCCCTCTTCCATCGACCCCCTGCCAAGTTACGACCTTCCACCACTGTCCCGTACTTCGTACTCGAACACCACTCGTACCTTTTGTTAGAACGCGCGGATTCGGACGACTCCAGAGTGGAATCGGAGACTTAGCGTGGAAGCACCTCGGCCTCAGTGACTCAGGCGGAGCGCTGTGCCATTGCTGGTTGTCCTAGGGGTCCCTAATTTCGGATCTAGCAGAGGGAAAGTCTCTTGGGGGGAATTCTTGTCGATTTCGGACTGAGGTTACAAGTTACTAGGTACATTGTATATAAGGAGGGGTCCGGAATCAAAAGGAACAAGGGTAAGACGAAAGGAGACAAAGGGAGATGGAAAGAGGAACAACACCGAGGGTCAAGTGTTTGACTCAATGGTGTTTCCCAAAGGAGGAATGAAGGGCCAAGGCCCAAGGAGGAAGGAAAGAGGATGGGAGTCGGGAATGGCTAGCTGACTGAATAGAAGGAAGCAGCAGCCCAAATAGGAATGAGGGAGAATAGCGGAATTGAAATGGACAATGCAATAGTTGCAAGGTCCGGAGTAAGTCCGGAAAGTCCGAACTCGGAGGTTAAACTCCGGAATATTGGCAAACATAATTAAATGGAATGAGCTAACCAATACAATGGGTATAAGCGGAGGTGGGGTCAAAGTCCGAGGTCGGAGCTAAGACCGGAGGTTCCGGAGACGGAGACGCGAACGGGATTCCGGAGCGGAGGTCCGGAGTCAGGAGCATAGGTTTTGCGTACTCGTCTGGAAGGTGTCGAGGTTGGGGTCGGACCCGGAATGTTCCGGAGTCGGACCGAAGGTGGTGTCCGAGCCGGAGGTGGGATAACCTCTTGGGAGTCGGCAAGGAGAAAGTGACGGAAGGGAAGTAGGGCTCCGGAAGTCGGAGTTCGGAGTTCCAGGAGCCCGGAGCGGAGGTCGGGATTGTATGGATATGACACCTTTGCTCCAAGCCTCCATCATCGCTCCTACCTCGGACTTTGACTCCACCTCGGCCTTAGTCCATTGCATTGGTGACCTCATACTACGTAAACACCATTGCCAATATCTCTCGGACTTTCAACCCCACCTCCGCAACCTCCGTAAGCTCCGCAACCTCCGAGCTCCACAGATCACCTTTGGCACTTTCGCCACTTGTAATGTATCTCTCACGTTTTCCCCTCATCCCTATTTGGACTGCTGCTTCTTCCCATTCTAGCCAGTTAGTCATCATCCCCACTTCCCCTCATCCTCCTGCCCCTCTGGGCCTTGCCCTCCTTACCTCCTTTCGGACGTACCACAGGTTCTGCCTTATGACCTTTGGTACCGCTCCGCTTTGGTCTTCCCTTTGTTCCCATTCAGACACCTTCATTCCGATTCGGATCCCCTTTGTTTCCTTGTGCTTTCGCCCTCTCATTATATATATTGACGCCTGTACATACTTGTTTTAGGCCTTAGTCTAAAATCGACCTGAAATGCCCCCTAGAGACTTCCTGCTCGCCCCCTATGAAATTAAGGACCAAATGGACAAACAGCAATGGCACAGTGCTCCGCTTGAGTCGCTGAGGCCAAGGTCCCTCCTTGCTAAGTCTCCGGTTCCCCTCTGGAATCGTCTGCCCTTGCCTAGTTCTAACAGACAGCTCTGACGTCTGCTCACGCACCCCCACCTCTGCTGGGCAATACATTCGCTTGTGTCATGACCGACAAATCCCGGGGCTCCATCAGCAGCGAACCAATGCTGATAGGCGAATCCGCCGACCCGAAACCCATACACACTCTCCCTATAAAATAGGTCAGTAAAATTGCTATAAATTCTTCTTGCCTGTCTGTGAGTGCTTGCCTTCGATTTTATATGGGAAACTTTCTGTCAATTGGGTTTCAATGAGTCCACGGACATCTTCCGGGGTGAGGCCTTGAAACATTGTTGTGGCAAGATCGCGCAACTCATCACTCCGGAATCCATATGCGGTGGGACTTGGTAAGGTCCCTCCATGTTCTAAAACTAGTTCTGGGCTAATCTGTTGGAGATATTTTCCAGGAACTATGAGGCTTGCATCATTCCCGCATTCCCACACCCAATCACCCTCCTTCCCATCCAACAACTGTACATTTGCCGGCTTCAGGCTGAGGATCTGGACGCCAACCAGAACTGTCTTTTCAGGGAGCATTTCTTTGTCCACATATGTCTGGGGACTTCCGTCAACCTTGATTGAATTGACTTGAGCGATTGCCAGGAAAGGGACTCCTTTGCATTGTAAAATTGTTGCAACAGGATCTTGGATTAGGATGCACTGTGTTTCGATTACTGAACCATCTCCCACACAATGGGCCAGTATCGGTGTGAGTTGGGCAAATTTTGAGACATTTGCCACTCTCCTCAAACGGTCCATGGAGTTTGATTCCCTTGAGTACTTTGTGAACTCACATAGGACCCCTTGCCTTATGTACTTGCTTCCCATCTGGCAACCCAACAGTACAGCTGAGACCATTACGATGTGCACATTCGTTATCTGCTAGGTCTGATAGTTTGAACGTCGATGTCATGGATGATGTGGGGTTTCCTTGGGGCTGTGAACTTTGGGTGAGCCCTTCATCGTTGTTGCGGTCTTCATATGCCACTGATTCAAATGGGTTTAACAAATTGTCAGGGTTCAGCACCCTGCCTTAGGGTGCCCCGGACTCCCCACCTACTTTACCCCCTTTTATTCTTTGACTGTTGCCTTGTTGTTGCCTTTGTGTGTTGTGTACATGCGCACACGGGATAGCGTGGGAACTTTCTGAGCGAGCAGCTCGCCCAGAATGTTCCCACGGGTCACAGCCACAGTTCTGGGCGAGCAACTCGCCAGAACGTTCCCACACTTACTGGGCACTGCCACCTGGATGTTCCCTCCGGGTCACACTACACAACTCTAGGAGCTGTATAGTTGTGGGCATGTGACCCATTCCTTTATATAGCAACCATGCGGGGAGATGAGACCTTTACCCTTCTTCTCATCTCATGCCCTGCATAGGCAAGTGTATATTATCTTTCCTTTTACTATACATCTCATGCCCTGCATAGTGTGAGGACAGGTTAGATGGGGGTTGAGGTCAGGGAGCCTCCGAGTCCGAGGCCGGGCCCTGACACAAATCAGCGCCCATTTGGCATTCCAGATCATTGAACTTCTGTGCCAGACAGAATTCTCTGAGATCATCATCATTTTTGACGAGATAATGGCCAGCTCTCCAAGCCGGAGCTAGCTGTACATTAGCAACATAAATGTTGCCTCTCCATGATGCTGGATTGATGTGGTCGACCTTCTGTTCGATGCCACCTGCATTGCTGATGCCCTGAAGCCATAGTCGACATGGTCCTCGGTCCCACTCCGGATGTTTGGACAATATTGCATGGCACTCAACTGCACCAGAGGTACGGTTAGAGAGACTATAAGTGCTAACGTTCACATTATAGCCATTCTCTGCACAGATGAACCCAAACATCCATTCTAACCTATCAGTGCCCAAGAGGATAAGGAAGAACTTCCTATTCGGAGTTTCATACTTTGCCTTTGCAACGCAAAAGTAAGCATTTTTGACCATTATCTGTATGTCCCGGTATAGCGTGGCAGGGATGTATGATGAGCGCATGTTTTCGTGCGTGAAGAATACATATGCCACATGTGCTGCAGCACTGAGATACTTTAGCTGCTCATGCAGGCTGAGCTCGACGTTTATGTAAGGGAAGATGAGCCATTGGACAAGCTTCAAGTGTTGGATCAAAGCAAGATGGTCCTGGCAGTGAATGGGGTTATCCAGCAGCGAAGGAGATGAGAGTGACCAAATTAATTGCATTAGGTTAAGCATTGTTGTGACATCTTGTTTGTCTGCAACATTTAGGACATTATTGATGCGATTAGATGAGGTGCCAGCAGACTCAAACTGTTTTCAGAGGACTGAGGGAGTGATTTGAACAGGACCGATTCTGACACCTTTGGGATGAAGGTGAGCATGCCACAGACATTTCATTACATGTTTGTAATCCTTGTCCGATGTGATATCATCATCTCCTACCATTATTTAGTAGCTGCAGGTCCCGGAGGAGTGGGTGGATAGGTGATGATGCTGACAAAGGGGACTTTTCGGTGAGAGCTATGAGTGCCTTTCCACATCGCGATTCACCATCAGATGCAAGACAGTATACACGACCTGTCAGGGACTGCTTCTCATTGCAAGCTTTCCATGCCAATCGAAGGAGCCCAGTGTGCTGTTCTGCTGTTTCCTTTTTGCATGTTGCACTGATGAGAAAAGGCCGGGCAATGTATTCTCGATGGCTTTCAGTAAGTGTGCCAATTGCTCCAACTGTCGCCTAATTATGATACTATTGTCAGTGTCTTGCCTGGCTGCCAGCACTATCAACTCACCTCTGTCCCAAAGTGGACACGTCTCTCTCGCAAATCTTCACATATCACTTGGGCATCATCCAAGTTGCTGAAGATATGTGGGCCAGGGCTTGAATGTTCTCAGCAGAGGCCAATGATTGAATTGGTCTGAGGACACCAGTCCAATCCCTCCTCAACCTTAATTTCGTCAAACATACAGACAAGTCTGACCATCCCTTCCCCTGAAGTAGCATTGCACTCATAAGCTGATTCAATATTCCATGTCAGCTCCTCCAGTGTGGGAAAACCTGAAGAGGCGAGAATTGAGGTTGTGCAATGTTTTCGGACTGTTGTTAGGCCTGGGGTTCCTAGGGTGGCATGTGCAAACTCGGCAACTCTTGCACCCCCTAGCTGATACAGTACGACACCTATCAAGTGTTGCTCTTCCGTGTATTATGGATGGTAAGTACCCAAAGTTGCCTTTGTGAGAAGCTGAATGATTTCTCTAATTCCATGCCTCTTTCGAAGGGCAGACTGCACTAGAATATTGATGTGTGGAGCATCACACTGGCTTACAGCCATAGCAAACCGCTTATAGTCCAAGTTTGATGTAGTGAGTGCTTGAGTTTATGCTGGGTGTTGAGGCTGAGGAAATTTGTATCCGGTGCAACTACTGGACTTATCTGGAGCTCCAAATTCTTATGACGTAAACCAGCATGACTGGACAAATGACATAAAATGGACAAGCCTGGTATTGAACCCAGGACTTCTAGCGTGCATCCATACACTACTCGCCCATTATGCCAGGGGGGGGATACCCCTTCCCTGATGGTTTGGGAGATCACTTGATCCCTTCCTCCAACACTCGCCCTCAATTTGGGGTGTTAGCCTCCAAATTGATGTACCATGGCTGTCCACCATGAGGAAATTTGTATCCGGTGCAACTACTGGACTTATCCGGAGCTCCAAATTCTTATGATGTAAACCAGCGTGACTGGACAAATGACATAAAATGGATAAGCCTGGTATTGAACCCAGGACTTCTAGCGTGCATCCATACACTACTTGCCCATTATGCCAGGGGGGGGTACCCCTTCCCTGATGGTTTGGGAGATCACTTGATCCCTTCCTCCAACAGAGGCAACCCAATTTAAGTTCATTGATTTGATGATCTTTTCGCCTGAGCAACTCAACCATCCTCATACTCAAATGCTTGTATGGGGTATTCTCTGGGATTCCTCGGATGATATGGTCTTGGATGTGTACAATGGGAGTCAGCTGCCGTAAATTTCGGCACTCTCGGCAGGGTCTCCCATCTTCCATGCAGGCCACAGAGTGTATTGTGAGTGCCCCATTTTCAATGAGTACACTCATTGACATAGCCAGATTTTCAAGCTCTAGCCATGGCCATTCTGTGAATGGAGTACACCCTTCAGGAACTGTCAACTGAAATCCAGGACAATAGTGCATAGTCTTTTGGTGAGGGCCCGAACTGGATAATGGATAACAGTAACCACTGTCAACAGAATCTGAATCTGAATCTAGGATGATGGGTTGTTGGCTTGTCCCTTTGGCAACTGGTGGTGACAATCATTCTGGCTGAGGCACTGAATCACAATCCTGTGTATCATCCAGTGTGTCATCTGGTGTATATGAATATTTGGGCAACCTGTAATGATTGGGTCAAATGCACATTGTAGGGTTTAGGAGGTAATGTACATTTTCTCTGCTTCATTTATTAGAATCTCAAGTCGGGTTTCGAGCATGACCTCAGATGCCAACTTGCGGTCAATAAAAAATTGTAATGTGCAGCAAAGACCCAGTAAGCCAAGATCACCCCATTTGATTGCTTGTTGGACAAGTCCTCGACTGACTCCCCAGCTGCCACAAATGTTATTTAGTTTTCTGTCAAGCCATTCATATGGCTCTTCATCTTCAAGATTATGAAGAATTGCCTCAGGATCACCACATAGTGCTGCCACAGCATCTTCGGCTTTGGCTACATGGACTCTGGGAGCTGGGCAGCAATGAGGGTGAGTTTTGAGAGCATTGTCGGAGCCACCATGACTGATGCTGCTGAGTTGCTAGAGTTGATTACACGATGGGGGAGAAAGGCAGGTGCTGGAATTGGGGAATAGGTAGGGGATCCAGGGGGTAGTGGCAGCGGGGAGGCCACAGTTAGATGGACAGGATGGGGCTCCCGGAAAAAGGATTTCATCAATGACACTTGCTTGTTTATCTCAGTTCGGCTGTTTGGAGTTCCTGATTTTTGCGGCAGGCTTTCTTTCCTCTGTGATTCTCCATATTTACAGGACCAGCATAGCCGAGCAAAATCTCCTTGCTGCAATCTGGACATACTTCACTGTAGTCCGCATCAACCTGTTCCTTGGATTAAGTGCATGTTATAGATAACCATTTTTGAGGTTGCCAGAGATACCTTCACTGAGTTCATTTCCTGGTTTCAGCAGCGAGTGTGTGGGAGGATGCAGAAAAATCCCAAATTTGGATACCGGCATCTCCCGGAATAATGGATACTGCTGATTGAATTAAAGAGGGGGGGGGGGGGGGTTCTCGCACATTTCCCTAATCCTAAAAAGGGACATGATGTTTAGGATTTCCATAACTGACCCCCCTTGATTCCCATCTGGGAAACACCTGCTGATTGTTAGAACGGGCGGATTCGGACGACTCCGGAGTGGAATCAGAGACTTAGTGTGGAAGGACCTCAGCCTCAGCGACTCAGGCAGAGTGCTGTGCCATTGCTGGTTGTCCTGGGGGTCCCTAATTTCAGATCTAGCAGAGTGAAAGTCTCTTGGGGGCATTTCAGGTCGATTTCGGACTGAGGTTACAAGTTACTAGGTACAATGTATATAAGGAGGGGTCTGGAATCAAAAGGAACAAGGGTAGGACGAAAGGAGACAAAGGGAGATGGAAAGAGGAACAACACTGAGGGTCAAGTGTTTGACTCAATGGTGTTTCCCAAAGGAGGAATGAAGGGCCAAGGCCCAAGGAGGAAGGAGGATGGGAGTGGGGAATGGCCAGCTGACTGAATAGAAAGGAAGCAGCAGCCCAAATAGGAATGAGGGAGAATAGCAGAATTGAATAGGACAATGCAATAGTTGCAAGGTCCGAGGTAAGTCTGGAAAGTCCGAACTCGGAGGTTAAACTCTGGAATATTGGCAAACGTAATTAAATGGAATGAGCTAACCAATACAATGGGTATAAGTGGAGGTGGGGTCAAAGTCCGAGGTCGGAGCTAAGACTGGAGGTTCCGGAGACGGAGACGCCAATGGGGTTCCGGAGTGGAGGTCCGGAGTTGGGAACATAGGTGTTGCGTGCTCGTCTGGAAGGTGTTGAGGTTGAGGTCGAGCCCGGAATGTTCCGGAGTCGGACCGAAGGTGGTGTTGGAGCCGGAGGTGGGATAACCTCTTGGAAGTCGGCAAGGAGGAGGTGGCAGAAGGGAAGTAGGACTCTGGAAGTCAGGTTCGGAGTTCCGGGAGCCTGGAGCGGAGGTCAGGATTGTACGGATATGACACTGATTGAGGCTGTTAGACCCGGCATAACTGTCCATTAGACTGTATACACACCCTTGCTCAGTGCACCATAGCTATTGTGTATTATTTGAGCCCCACTGATGGATAACGTGGTTGGAGGAACTGTGTGCTATGGGAGGCCGGACGAGTTTCCGTACAGCCACATTCCCACATCCGAGCGAGGAACTTGCCCAGACAGCCACATTCCGGCAGTAGCATGACTACTTGGTCACAACACCTTTTCTTCTTACTTATTTTGGTCACTTCGGACTTATCCGCGATGGCCACAAACTACATTCAATCCTTTGGATTAGTTTCCTTTTTCCTCAGTTCTCACGCATATTGCTTGAGACTGAGGTTAGTTACAGTTCTCTCATTTCTACATGTTGTAACTTATTGTATATTACCTTACAGCTATTGTCACTAGGTAATATATTACAGCGGTTTTGTGAGAAAGTGGCAGTCGAAAAGTGAAAGGGTATTGAACCCTTTCGTAAAAAAATATCGACAAAATGAGTAAATATTCGGAATTTTTATTTTCAATTCAATAGAAGCACATGTCAATATAGCAAAATAAGCGCCATATGGCCATTCTGCATTCCCTGTTGATGATATATTGATGGACCCAGCTCTCTGGCACATGTCAAGCTGCTCAGCTCTGTAGCCACCATCGCTGTCTCATGGGTACTAGCCACACCACACCAGACACAAAGCGGCTCATTGCCATAATGTCTCAAACTCTTTCCCCCAAGGAGATTGCACAGGCCACCCATATTAGTGAATGCACAGTTCACCAGATTCTCTCAGCTCATAGGCAAGGGATCCCTTTTGACAAAGTCGGCAACTGCAGGTGCAGTTGCAAACTGAATAACTGGGATCTGGATGTGAGCACAATAAATGCTCATAGCAGTTGATTTCAGTACTAATTATGTGAAGTAGCTCGTCCAAGGCCATATCAAACTCAAGCCGGACCTGTACCTCCATGAAATACAACAGATATTAGAGAGATATCACCGCATCTCTGTTTGTGAATCCACTGTCTGGCTCAGCCTGAAGCAATGGGGCTTCACACACAAAAAGGTATGCATTACACATATTTATGTCTTATTTTAATCAACTCTTGTCAGGGCGTGGGAAAACGTTACCGTGACTCGCCGTCGGCGACCGTTAAGGTCCGCTGCTCGGCGTAACAGCCCATCAAGGGCAGGGATGACAATCGCGGCGGAAAGGGGTTTCGGCTTCAACGACTCGTTCATGAGCGTTGCGCCTCGTACTTGATGCAGCCCCGATATTTCAGGAGGCAGGAGGTGCGACTGGGTCAGACAGAGAGTGCAGGGGGTAACCCTAGTTGATTTTCGAACTCCAGTACGAGGTAGTGTACAACCGGTATTTAAGTATAACGGAATGAATGGAATTAAGTCGCCAGATCTCATGGAGATTGCGGGCGGGGTTAAGAAGAAACGAAAACAAACAAAGAGTGTGGGAGAAGGACGGCTGTGTACGGCCATCAAGAAAAACAAGCGTGATAAAGAAAGACTCGTAGGCCCGTGATGGGCCGTGGAAACAGGTAGTGGTGACGGGGAAGGGTGACGGGCTTGTTCAGGCGGCGTCGGGCAGGCAGCGGGGTTGACGGGGTCGAAGCGGGGGAGGGAGAATGTGTGGGGAGTGATCACCTGACCGTGGGAATTGCCGGGTCGTGACAACTCTAAACAAATCATACAGCTACAAAAGCCGGCATTTGAATGCAATGAAGGATTACATACCGCATTTAGGAACTATATGGGTCTGCATTATCAAGCTGAACAGCTTGTTTTTGTTGATGAGACAGGATGCAATCACAATACTTCCTCACGCTCCCATGGCTGGGCACCATCTGGTGACTGAGCTTGTCGTCAGGATTTTTTCATGCAAGGCACTAAGTGTGTAACATTTTTCAAATCCATGTTTATCCTAATGTCCCTTCCTCAGGTACTCTATACTTCCTGCTCTGACCATAGAGGGCATGCTCCATGTGAATATTCAGCAAGGGGCATACACAACGGCGACATTCAACGATTTTATTTGGTCCCTTCTCCCACGCTGTAGGAGAAATAACGGCCACACTATGGAAACCCATTATGGAAATATGCCAGATAAATCACAAAAACCTCATACGACAAGTAGATATGAGAACATAGAAGGACCTGAATTTTAACGAATTTTACGAATTTTTACGAATTATTACGACTATACACGATAAATCGAAAGAAAGAAAAATAACAAAAATACTTCAAGCTTACCATCAACGAGACGGAATTCTCGGGGGAATTTATAGCAAATATTAAACCAAGAATTAGGACAATCGACCAAGATTTGACTATAAAGATAATCAGAGAACCTCCACGGAAACTACTTTCCCACGTCCGCACACGTAGCAAGGATGGAAGTACCACGGAACAAAGATTCCTCAGGAACTAATGCAAAAGTCAAAGTCGTGTTTATAATAGGAAATGTAGATGTCACCCAAACGGAACCAATGAGAGTAATTACAGGGGAAACTACCCATAAACGACGGAGATATGACTAAAACTCCTGCAAAACGAGGACAATGTCTAAAAAGCAAGCGCGAAGATTAACTAGTAACGACCGAGACAAGCTTGATAGCCCATTAAAAAGGAAAGGATCTACTCTTAATCCTCCCAAATTTTCATAATAAAAGGATCATGCGTTAATGAGAAATCCAATAACGGGAATAGCGACATCAAAAGTCCGAGCTCAGGGACAAGACAATGATTGCATAGGATCCATAATTAAAACATACAACGAAATTTACACGGAAATTATGAAAAATAGGAAACTATAGTTATGCAAATTCTCAGCCCAAACGGTCCAGCCGTTGTGAAGTTATACCCATGACGGGAATATAGGAATCCGCATCATGTGTAATGACACGTGAGGGTGGCGATGCGCAGGGAACTGGCCGTCGGAACCGAGATCCGCACTTCGGCAGATCGCGAAGACCAATTTCCGTCCAAATAAGGAAGAGCCCGGTCAAAACAAAGCACGAAAAGTGCAAAACAACCTTAGATCATGAGGGAAAAATCTGAAATAAATCACAGAAGCCCATATGAAAGAAATAAACACCCGCGCATATCATAAATCCCGAACAACCAAACGAAAACGGCTCCCGCATACAAACAACTATGGGAACGACGCACGTGATTACCGAATGTGCGCGCGAAACTTTGCTAACTCAACGAATACAGGGAAATAGGACACAACCTTAGTACCATTGGAAAGGTGGGAATAAATGAAAATTTATGATACCAAGAACGTGAGAAAACATCCAGAAATGAATGAGATACAAGGACATGAAGTTAGAAACCTGAAAACACGTGGGAAGACAGCTTCAAGAGGTCTAGAGCCCTAAATAAAATACATAAAAATATGATATCTTCGAGGACGACCTACTATAACAACGAACAATACATATGGAGGATTAGGATGTGATAATACAAAGGGGAATCAGGGAATATGAACGAAATTCACGAAAACTACTAAACTACGACAGACCATGGCGGGAATTTTAGGGAACGATGTTCTAATGAAGTAGAGAGCTATAACACATTCGTTTGAGTAATTCTTGATTACTAGCAACTTTTTCTTTCAGTTTTAAACCTGAATAATTCACTCATTTATCATTTCAGTCTCATTTTAACTAAATGTCACTAAATAAAATTGGAATAAATCAGCTGAAGGTCTCAGCACAGTCGCACGCATAGTAATGCGAGGTTTGAATTCAGTATGACCGAGTCATAGCGAACTTAATGGGAAATATGGGGAATTTGAAATAGGGAACTGCGGCAAATGCGGCGCAGACAAATTCTAATTAACCATTAAAATAGCTTAGGCGAGGAAGGACAATAAGGATTCCAGGCGCAGTCTGACTGCAGTAGAGCCGCAGTTCAGCGCAGCAAAGCACAGTGGAACTATAGCGTGAAAATTTCACTTTTTATTCAGTTTGAGAAAAATACACTGTAAATAAATCCTGTAAATAGAAGGTAGAGCGTGAAAAAGGAAGGCGACCCAAGGAGTATAAAAGGGAGACCCTTTCTGCGACTTTTCGCCCCCCTTAGAGAAGTAAGAAAATAGAGTATTATTTTTCTCAAGCATTTCTGGTTGTCACTCCAGTGCGAAAAAGTGATATACAGTTAAGATTGCCACTGTAGTAAAAGGCAGCAATTAAGGAGAGAAATATTAAGTAGATATTTCAACAGGAGAGCTGGTTAACACTCCAGATTTCAAAGTGTAAACACAAAACAGTTATTTTGCTTCTGTTAAAACAAGCGATAAAATAAAGACAAAAATAAAACGAACTCAAGGGACACTCCAGACACCATCCAAATTCATTAACTGAATAGAATCTTTGAAACTTCACCAAGTAGAAGATTAAATTCAAGTTTAAATCCAAATTAAACAACGCTACACAGAATTACACCTAGACAAATTAATAAATTTCAATAAAGAAACAGCTCCGCAGGGCTCGGTTTATCTGTAAGTCAATTCCCAGGAACTTTAAAACTAACCCATAAAAATAGAATTAGCCAAAACACTCGGATTGGTACTTTATTTACAATAAATAACACTAGTACACTTCCCCATCCTAACTAAAGAACCAGGGAACAGCTTGGTGGTGGTCTCGTTTGAACCTCCCAACTGACCTTCCTTCGTTCTCTCCTTCAACGCATGAACACATTCCCTCTCTCCCGATCTGTTCTAATTATGGATAATGCGCGGATTCATAAGTCCGATGAGTGTGTGCTGACTGGTAAGTGTGCCTTATGGTTCTATAAGCTTGGTCTTACTGGTCCTGATATTGTAGCGGTGTCCATCTTGTTTTCCTTCCACCTTACTCCCCTGACTTAAACCCGATTGAGGAAGCCTTCTCTTCAATAAAACATTGGCTCTGTCTCAATCGAGACCATGTGGACGCTGTGCTATCTAGAGGGGATATCAATGCCACAAAAACTTTACTTCTTGAAGCAGTATTTTCAGTGACTGAAGCCTCAGCATGTGGCTGGTTCAGTCATTTGGGCTATTTGGCTTAAATGATTGGCTGAGCTCACGAGGCATTTGTATATTATGATCAAATTTATAATCAAATTTTCATTGGGATAATTTTTAAAAAAAGATTTGACAGCAAGTGCACAATTTTATTCTAACTCGTCAATGTCGGACTCATCTGCAGAGCTGTCACTGCAAAGATTGAAAATGAGGGCAGAGTCCTTCCTGGAAGGTCCAGGGACAGGTGAGGATGAGAGAGAAATGATGGATGTGTGACGGACTGGGGTTACCGGGTCGGAGGAGAGAACAATGGTTTCGCGGTTTTCAGGTCGCAGTTTAGTTGGTGTCACAATGAGCCCAACCTTTACCTGGGGACTAGCCTCAGCCTTAATTTTCTTGGCCAGTAGTGTGGTTGCAGCATTGGACTTTGGAGGGGTTTGTGGTGGAGTAGTAGCACAGCACTTGCACTTCAGGTTCCTAGATGAAAGGTTATCTTACTAGTTTGGGGACGGTAACGTTCCGTTCCCCCGTTCGCCTCAGGCCTCAGTAATCCGTCTAAGTATACGCTTGATTTGGCTGTATATTGACGGGGTAGAAGTAAAGGCTAATCCGCCTTTTACAGCTACCCCGAGGGTTTATATACAATCTTATACATTCTCGGCACAAATAAATAGAGAAGCTTCCGCGACGCTAAATTAGCGTCGCGACATAATTATTACACAACACAACATCAACTGATGTTGTGGGTGGAATATAGACATGGGCCGGGGCCTCACATCCTCCTCCCTTGCGATACTAGATCGCAGACAGGGTACTAGCATATATACACAAGGGGAAAGCAAGCATTTTTAAAGAAATAAAATTTTTTTTAACGTTCTACATACGAAGAATGTATGCAAACGGGGGCACACTCATTGCAGGAGGCTATAATAGTATTTTGTAGGGGAAGCCCACTTAGAGTTTCTCCTGGAACATATGCACCCAGATCTCGACGACAGTGTTGTCGACGATGGAACGACTTTCTCGTCGTTGTGAGTTTATTAAATACCATCGTCCACCATGACGATGTTGACAGTGTAGGTCGTCGACGGCAGAGTTGTCGCCGACGAGAAAATGAATAATCAACGACGATTGCGTTGACGAAGGACGAAGGGTACAGAATAGACAATCAACGACAGCATTGTCGTTGATGAAGGTAAGAGATTATTGATCAACGACGGCCTTGTCGTTGACGAAAGTGGGTAATCAACGACGGCATTGTCGTTGACGAAGGTATGGATGAGGGGGGGTCAGTTCCTCATTCGTTTACGCGGCGCTGACCCGGACGGGCCAGAGCCGGATGGGCGATTCGACGTAGTCCTATGAGTCGTCGTGGACCTAGCCGCGTCGACAGCGACATCGTCACTCAGATAGTTGTTGTCGTAGTGACGAGTCTCGACATCAGCGTCGTTCATGGACGAATCCTCGTCTTGACGACGGTGCGAATAATGGACATGGTGCGTGGGATGGCCACGTCCATGAGAAGAGGGAGCACGCCCTCGCACTGGTGGTGCGTGGGCGGATTCGTACACCGACGAGTGTGCATATGTCGGAGGGGGGTATTGCGGCGGAGGTGGGGCGTTTGAATACGCCACAGGGTGTGGGCTCGCGTACATCATAGGCGGGTTTGAGTACGACGTTGGGGGAGGGTTCGAGTACATAAGTGCTCGTTCCTGGCGTTGAATTTTACGACGCTCACGAGCGTCGTCAGTCATTGGTTTTATCCATCGACACGCGAGGATGTACATCCGTGCAATACGAGCCGGGGGGTACTGGTCGGGAAGTCTTTTCGCCTCCGTCTCAATGTCGTCGCGCGACATACGCATTCGTGAGGCGCGGTTGTTTGTAGCCACCCTGTACCAATCGGTACAGGTGTCGACGTCCTCTTGCGAGGGCTTGCCCGTCTTGAACGACCAGGCAAGATGGTACATTGTAGCATAGAACCTCACACCCTCTTCGGTGTGTATGTAAGATAGACGACGTTCATAAGTCGTCACTATCCGGAAGCAAATCATGGCACAACTCACACCCCACCTCATCCCTGATACTGCACTTTTGAGGCAAATGTAGAACTGAGAAATTGTAGAAATGATACCACTTTATGACTTCTCG